AACCAAAACCAAAATTTGACTCCTGCCTTACCGCTGATACTAAAGTATTTCCCACACGGAGGGGAGACACAGAAAAGAACTTTAAAACAGTGTGAGAAAATACAAGAGAATTGGGTAGAGGGGGAAGAGATCTCTTAAACGTGAGAGGAAACCCCAAAACCTTTCAAGAAACACCACAAACCAAGCCTAGCACAGATAAATCCCATGGACAGGGGAGCCTGGCAGGCTACAGTCCATGGGGTCTCAAGAGTTGGTTTGGACACAACTGAACGACTAAACCGCGAGCACAGATAAACCAGCAGAAAAAATAGAAGTTGTGAACTGAAGCTGTGAAAGACAAGAGGCCTCAGGTTGTGAGAGGCTTAGGCCTCAAGTTTTAAGAGGCCTACAGAGGGCTGGGCCTTCAGGGGAAACTACCAGGATAAGATACGTAACACATGCAGCTTCCCTTGTGGGTTGTCTGTTTTGCAGATGTAAAAGCACCACACCATTAAGGACATTCATACAAAAAAGCTTTCTGCAAGCCACAAGAGTTGGAAAACAACCAGGGGAAAAGTTTCACCTGTGTGCAGGGTGAATATGCGGACTCCGGCGGGGGGGGAATAAAAAATCTCTGCTTCTCTGCTTGGATTCCCAATGCCTTCCACGGGCCCTAGGGTGTGAGACCCTCGAGGCCTCAGTCCCCAGGGTGGGCCCAAGGCGGGCCTCACATAGCCGGGTTTGACCGCCTCGCCACAGACGCCAGCACATCTGACTCAGGCAAGTCGGGGGGGGGGGGGCGGGGGGCGGGTGGCTTGTGATGTTTCTAAGGCGCATGCGCATGGCGTGGCGCAATCGCTGGCGTCAGCACCACGCACGCGCCAGGCGTCAGCGCCACGCACGGACAGTTGCACATCTGCCTCGAGACTGGGAGAGGGTACCGTTGGGGGGTGGGGGTTGCTTCTCCCGCAACCGTTGTGACCTCGAAGAAGGCAGGCTCCCGGTTGGGTGTGAGCGTTGGACACCCTAAAAGCCACTGGAGAATGATGGCCGAGGGCCGGGACCAGGTGAGTTGAGTTGCAGCCAGTATTAGGGCTCATGCTGTGTTGTAGTTGATGATTTTGCGTGAGAAACTCCTTGACTATCTCCCTGAGTTTGCTCAAACTGTCCATTGAGTCGGTGATGCCATTCATCTCCTCTGTCGTCCCCTTCTCCTCTTGCCCTCAGTCTTTCCCAGCATCAGGGTCTTTTCCAATGAGTTGGCTCTTCACACCAGGTGGCCAGAGTATTGCAGCTTCAGCTTCAGCATCAGTCCTTTCAATGAATATTCAGGGTTGATTTCCTTTAGGATTGACTGGTTTGATCTCCTTGTTGTCCAAGGGACTCTGAAGAATCTTCTCCAGCACCACAATTCAAAAGCATCGATTCTTCAGTGTTTAGTCTTTTTTATGGTCCGACTGCCACATCCTTATGTGACTACTGGAAAAAACCATTTGCTTTTACTAGATGAACCTTTGTCAGCACAGTGGTGTCTCTGCTTTTAATATGCTGTCTAGGTTTGTCATAGCTTTTATTCCAAAGAACAAGCGTCTTAATTTCATGGCTGCAGTCAACGGCTGCAGTGATTCTGGACCCTATGAAAATAAAATCTGTCATTGTTTGCACTATTTCCCATTCTAATTGCCATGAAGTGATGGGACTGGATGCCATGACCTTCATTTTTTGAATAGTGAGTATTAAGCCAGCTTTTTCACTCTCCTCTTTAACTTTCATCAAGAGGCTCTTTAGTTCCTCTTCGTGTTCTGCCATTAAACAGTATCATTTGCATATCTGAGGTTGTTGATACTTCTCCTGGCAGTCTTGATTCCTTCCAGCTTGTGATTCTTCCAGCCCAGCATTTCTGATGATGTACTCTGCATATAAGTTAAATAAGCAGGGTGACAATATTACAGTCTTGATGTACTCCTTTCCCAATTTTGAACCAGTCTGTTGTTCCATGTCTGGTTCTAACTGTTGCTTCTTGTCCTGCATACAGGTTTCTCAGGAGAGAGTTAAGGTGGTGTGGTATTCCCATCTCTTGAAGAATTTTCCAGTTTGTTGTGATCAACACAGTCAAAGGTTTTAGCTTAGTCAATGAAGTAGTAGATGTTTTCTTGGAATTCCCTTGCTTTTTCAATGATCCAGTGGATGTTGGCAATTTGATCTCTGGTTCCACTGTTTTCTAAATCCAGCTGTACATCTGGAATTTCTAGGTTCACCGTACTGCTGAAGCCTAGCTTGAAGGATTTTGAGCATAATTTTGCTAACATATGAAATGTGCAATTGTACAGAAATTTGAACGTTCTTTGGCATTGCCCTTCTTTGGGATTGGAATGAAAACTGTGGCCACTGCTGAGTTTTCCAAATTTGCTGTCATATTGAGTGCAGCATTTTCACAGCATCATCTTTTAAGATTTGAAATAGCTCAGCTGGAATTCCATCACCTCCAGCTTTGCTTGTAGTAATGCTTCCTAGGACCCACTTGACTTCACACTCCAGGATGTCTGGCTCTAGGTTATCTGGGTCCTTAAGATGTTTTGTGTACAGTTCTGTGTATTTCTTGCCACCTCTTAATTTCTTCTGCTTTTGTTAGGTCCTTGACGTTTCTGTCCTTTATTGTGCCCACCTTTGCATGAAATCTTCCCTTGGTAGCTCTAATTTTCTTAAAAGAGATCTCTGTAGTCTTTCCCAGTCTGTTGTTTTCCTCTCACTTGAGGCTTTCTTGTCTCTCCTTGCTATGAGACCAGTTCAGTTATTTGCCACCTCTGTGGGCCTCTGGATAAATTTCTGGTGAATTCAGCTTGGTAAAGTCAGCAAACTTATACTGTCATCCAACTCTTTTTAGAGAAGGGGAACCCAGAATGGGCAGTGATTTGCCTGACACCTTGTGCAACTGAAAGGTTTCTGCAGGATCCATCAGGAGTCCTAGTTGGGGCTAGCACATTGCAAGTTACTAGATGAAAACTGCCAGGCTGAAACACAGGCTTGCAACATTCTGGCTCAATGCTGAGTGGGAGGTCCCTCACCAAACTCTCTGTCCAGTCTGTCTTGCTCACTTATGGAGAGGGTGCCTCCAGCAGTGTTGAGGACAGTCAGAGCCCTGAAGTGTGGCAGCAGAGAAGGCATATTCTTCTGTAGCTCTGCCTCCCGTGGCCAAGCTGCCTGTCCACTTTCTTAGGGAACCAAGAGCAATATGGCCCTTCCAAAGGAAGCCTCAGAGGTTCCATCTGCAAAAAAGGGCAGAACCCTCCAGTGGAATTCTGAAGATGTTTTAGGTATCTTGGCAGCTGCCAACAGGTCCCTTACAGTCTGGTCCATCTGCAGGACAGCCTGGGGACGAGTAGCCAGTGGCGGCACCACCCACTCAGGCCAAACCTGTGTTCTATGTAAAAGGCACAGAAGTTTGAACTTTATGTGTCTCACACTTGTTGGTCTACAGAGCCATGAACTCTTGCCCAACACTGCTTGATCCACAGGTCTTAAAAACAGTCATGTCTTCAAGGGGACCTGGACCCAACAAGAGAAGCCAGAAGGCAGTATCACTCAAGACACATGCAGGAGAAACAAAAGTTTCTCTCATCCTGTTATTAATCCATTGCCTTCCTTTGGTAAACAATGCCAAACCCTTGTCTTCTAGTAATATGGTATCGATGTGGGGTTTTTAATGCTAAATCCATGGGACACTTAGGGGCTGAAGGGGTGGTATAAGGTGGACATTTCCCAGAAAACTCACCCCTTGTTTTTCATCTGATTTTGATGGTCAGTATCTAAGTCATGTCCAACTCTTTACGATGCCATGGACTGCAGCATTACAGGTTTCCCTGTCCTTCACCATCTCCCAGAGTTTACTCAAACTTATGTTCATTGAGTTGGTGATGCCATCCAACCATCTCATCCTCTGTTGTCCCCTTTTCCTCCTGCCTTCAATCTTTCCTAGCATCAGGGTCTCTTCTAATGAGTTGACTCTTCCAATCAGGTGGCCAATTGTTGGAGCTTCAGCTTCAGCATCAATCCTTTCAATGAATATTCAGGGTTGATTTCTTTTAGGATTGACTGGTTTGATCTCCTTGGTGTAAGTCCCTAACCCAAGACTCAGAACTACAGCCCTGTCCCAGAAAGAAACACATGATTGATCTCACATAAATTCACTCAGACCAAATCAAAAATCCATAGGCTTTTCACCTTTCAGATTAAGATGGAAGAGACTGCAGACAGGCAAGGAGGGGGGTGAGGAATACACTGTTGGTGGGGATTGAAATTGTGAAATCTTTTCTGGAATGCCTCCACCTTCTGACACAGACATTTCTCTCTGGAATTCATCCAAATAAACACAGATCTAAGTACACAGAGATAGTCATCACAGGATTTTTTGTAAACATTAAAAACCTAAATGTCTATAAATGGGACCAGTGATTAACAGTTCATCCAAGACACTGAAATGCTATGTAGTTGTTAGGATAAAGTAGACCCATGTGAAATCTTCAGAGACAAATCCCAAGATCTACTAAGTGAGAAACAGGCAGAACAGAGGAGAAGTGTATTTGCTCAGAACGGATGCTCTTTTTAGGGAGAAAGAGCACTGGGGGGCTGGGGGAGGCGGGGGGCTTGCTTTCATAGCCCAGCCTTTTATACTGTTTGAATTTTTATCATGTGCATGTGTCACCTGAAAAAAAACAAAAAACCAAAAATATTCCTCCTCCTCCGTAAAAATAGGTTGCTGCACTCATTCACCTTCTCGCAGCAGACCTTCCAGACCATCCTCTTCTTCCCAAGTTGTTAGACAATTCCAAGCAGCTTAATTACCCAGTTTAGGAAAAGGGGGAGTTCCTGCATCTTATCTACCTGCCCAGAATGGCAACAGCTCTGCCTGGAAGCAGGCTGTGTTCAGCACCGCTGTGGTTGGATTTAAACAGCAAAGTAGGAACACCTAGAAGTTGAAGCTAAAACATTTAGGAAATTCAGTATGTCAGTTTCTGTGAGTGTCAAAGACGGTGAAGACATAAGACAATGAAGATGCAGATGAGGAAGAACTTGAAGACAGCTAAAGCCACAGTGGTGGGAAGAATGAAGAGGAGGAAAGTGCTGGGTTTTACTAGAAGAAAACAGACTGAGTTCAGGAGTCTCGCCAGTAAAAGTTTATAGTATTGCATTTTGATTACAGGTGTGTAAATAAAAACCTTGAGTATTACCCTCTGGTGAAAATGCAGAATCAGCTTCCATCTAGATTTAAACAGAAAGTTTGGGGACAAAAATGGATCATATGCTGCCTGTGATGAAGAGAATGAGCTGGACAGGATAGGAACCACCAGCTCAAGAAACCCCAAGAGTCTTGGAGAATCTTCTGAGGAAGAGGTCAGGGCCTCCCTGGTATTTCTCTGAAACAGCCCTTGCCCAGGGGTGTGGTTTTGCGAAGTCCCAAGCCCACAAATCATAGGCACTTCTGGCCATGTGCACAAGTGGGCGAAGACTCAATTCCCCTGTTGCCTGCCTCCCTCACCCTTCTTCCCCGTCTCCTGCAGTCTTCACGGGGCGGCACGTGGCCACTGCTGAGCAGTGGGCAGACGCTGGAAACACACCAAGGTCAGAATTGCAGACCAGTGGGGCAAGATCATGGTTCTTGTGGCTCCAGAAAACCCAAAGTCCCCAAATAAAGGGGAGTAAGGAGTGAGTTGGGGGAAATCGAACCAGAACTTTTCCAATGGCCATTATAGAAAACTCGGCAACTCTGGCCTTCGTCTTTGACCCTGAGTTGTTTGAGGACCACAGCAGTGTGAGGCTGTGACTAGGCAGAGGAAGGCATGGCGTGCCCACTGCAGAGCTGTCTGTGTAGTTCCTGCAGGCCCCAGGGCTCGGTGACCTCTCCTCCCATCTGCCGCAGACCGGACACCTTGACAGGGTGTGGTGGGGTGAACAGAGGGGAAGCAGTAAGAGCAGCAGCCCTCCCCAGGACCCTGCCACAGCAGAAGAGGTCACCGCCAGATCAGCACGGTGCTCCTTCACACACAAGGTTCCTAAGGGGACTCCTCTGGAATGCAAATGATGTGTTACCCAGGTCAGCAGTCTGACCAGTCAGATCTGTCCATGCCTTAACCTGGACTCAAGTTTTTGTGGCAGGAAACCTCACCATCTACTGCTAGCTAAGGAAATGTCCAGCAAGGAGAATTTAGGTGGTGGATGGGGAAGCTGAACAGGAGGATCTTTCTTCCCCAAGCTGACTGAACAGTGCCACAGCCAAGATGACCGACCATTCGGACCACCACTCACCTCCGACCTGAGGCAGGAGCCACAAGGCAGGAAGCTCCTCAGCACCAAGCCTCCTGCTGATCGAAGCCCCATGGAGATCCCCTGGATTGGAGCTCCTGGGGGAGCACCAGCCTGGGAAGAGTCCTGTCCCTCCCCCAGCCCTGCCCCTGGAGCCCCTCCAACTTCCAAACGGCTCTGGAATTCACCACATCTTGAGGAGCCAGGAGCCAAGAGAAGAAACTCAAGATTTGGCATCCTAGTTCTGTCATTTGCCCAAGAGTCACCAAAAAAAATGTATGGTCTCACAGCAGGCACAGCATGTTGTTTCTTTCAAAAAATAAATATTTATAAACTTAGGGTGGAGGATTCAAAGAATCAAGAGTCTCTTTCCCACCAAAAGCACAAATATCCCATGAGTCAAACCAAGGTAAGTCCATCAACCCATAAATGAAACGCCACCCTCAGGAGCTCTGCCTTGAGGGGCAGGGGAGCTGATCTCTGGCTCCGGGCCCTAGTCCCCCTTGGTGATCAGGTCCTCGATGTAGGCATCCAGCTCGTCGTCTGTGTTAATGTCTATGTCCTGGAACAGAGCAGGGCAGGGTCAGCCGGGGCTCACAGGGTGGTGGGAGGCCCGCCTCCCCAGCCTTCTTGCAGCCCAGGCCATGCCCTCTGCTCTCCCCCTCCACCCTGTTAGGCCATCCTTCTTGATCATCCCCTCCCCATCCTCCGACTCCTGCCCGCCTCCCCGCACCCAGGTCCCGCCTGCCCCAGCCTCACTCTTAAGACTCAACACATCCAACAGCTCGGTACCACCACCCACCCTGGGTTGTTCCCATCTCAGTACAGGGCCCCCCACCTTCCCTCTACTCAGGGACTCAGACAGACTAGAAGAGTCATCCTTGTTTCCTCCCCTCCCCTCAGACACTTCTCTCCCTCCTCACTGGCACCATCCAAGGCTCAGGCCTCCAGAATCTCTCACCCAGATAACTGGGAACCTCCTCAGTGGAGTCCTGGACTCTAACCTCGGCCCCTCCTACAACCAACCAAAGTAAACGTCTTAGGCTGCACGCGTCCCCGCGGCACACGGTCCAGGGACCTCCCACCTGGTACAAGGCCCTGCCGTGGGCCCTACTCTTCCCTCTGCCCACAGCTCACACCCCACCCCAGCACGACTGCTTCTGCCTTCAGCTCAAACCCCTGCTCACAGAGGCGCCCCTGACACTAGTACAGCGGCTTCCTGTTGCTCTCCTGCTTTCTTCGTGGCACTCCCACCATCAACAGCTCTGTCTCCTGGCCCTGCTGTGCTATAAGCGCAGGGCCCCTACTGGTCACCAGGGGGCACAGGACAGGGTCCCCATTTTCCTGCCCAGATGAAGGGCTGAGGCCACAGGACACTCCCCGCTTGTGGGCTACCCACTCCCATCCAGGCGTCATCTGGAAAACCAAGAATGTCTTTGTTTCATGACTCCGAGGTGTCTCAAACCAGGTTGCAGGTCACCATGTCTAAACAAGGGCAAAAGTCTGATACCGTGGGGTCTGGCTGGGATGAGGCCCAGGCAGCCGTACCACCTCCAGCCCTCCTGGTCAGGATGCTGTGCCGCCAGGGATGGAACCACAGATTCCTGTGAGTGGGGAGAAGGGAGCACGAGGTACCCAGGCCCCCTCCCGAGACACCAGGTGGTCCGCTGCAATGAGAGGGCGGCCTGGCTCACCTCCTGCACCTTTTGCAGGAGTGCCACGATGTTGGTCCTCAGCTTCTGCAGCTTCTCCTCCGTCTCACGCAGCTTTCTCTCGGAGGTGCGCAGGCTCTCCTCAGAAGCCTTGGCCCGCGAGTCGGCGCGGCTCTGGTAGGAGTGGCACAGGTTCTGCAGCCCGACCTCATACTGCCTGAAGTACTCTTTCTGTCGGAGGAGAAGCCAGCGGTAAGTGCATGGCCTCACAGGTCCCCAGGGCCCTTCCAGACGGGCACTGGTGTCCCTAGCTGGCTCAGCACCGGGAAGCTTGGTCTGAATGGGTATCAAACCCAGGAGCCAGTGTCTCTGCAGCTCCAGAGAGGAAAGACCTTGAGGCCCACCTCACAGGGCGGCCTCAAGGGTGGAGACGGGATCACACACAGGAAGCACTTGGCAAAGAGCTCTGCAAACCGCAAGCCTTGAGTAAACATGAGGGATGATCCTCACCATTCTGCTTTCTAACTTCACAACAGCACTTTTGAACAATCCACATCCAAGTCACACCCAACAAGTACGTATCAAGCTCCTATCGATAGCAGATACCCCATGTTTGTGTAGTATATTTATACAGCATAGAACTTTTTATCATCTTCTCCAAACACCTGAAACTTCCCAGTGGTGGGGACAGCTTCTCTAGACATGAGGCTTTTCAAAGTAGTAGAACACTTGTTTTGAGTGAAAGTTACATGGAATCTCAATATGAAAAACAATTTAGGTATTATCTCTTTATGTTTAACTTATTTTCAAGGTTATTATGATTTACTCATGAATCACCAGTGAGAATGAAAAGGCCATTTTGATGAACACAAGCCTAGAACCCACAGTCTGGCTGACCACCACAGTCTCACCAACTATAGCATTTGTTTACTTCTGTGAAGACTATGAGCTACCTAGCACTGAATGGTTCCTTTAAAACATGTTAGAACTATTTAATTATTTACAACCTAGAATACTATCCTAGTAAGTCAAGATGGCAACAGAAACTTCAAGTTCTGCACATAAAGTAATTATCACTTGATGGCTCAAAATAAATGTTGAAGCAGATGCCAAGAGTATTAAAATTTAACATACAATGTCATGAGCCTAACTATGATTCCTATATGTTTAAATTTTTTCACTTTAAAACCATTACAGATTTACATGCAGTTATGCTACTTTTAAAGTACATATTTGAATCTAGTATTTGCAGGGCACCTGAGGGTTTCATGGACCTCCTTCCCAGCATGATGAGAAGTAGGACGGTCATTTACAAACTGACACAGACACAGTGAACTTTAAGAGTTCTGGTGTGTCCCTAACATGAAAAGAATGCAAGTTTGAGTTATTTTAGGCGTTCCCCGTAGGAGGCGATTAAGTTGGTACATTAGGGGCACCTCCTCTCACAAGTGTGAGCCAAAGGCCTGTTTCAGGCGCAGACACTCCTGTTGGCCATGCTTTGGCCTGGGTCACGCCCGCTGGAGAAATCCCACTGCGCCCAGGCTTTGCTCTGAATTTGGCAACAGCCTGAAGCCAAAAGGAACAAAGCTGACAAGAGGACGGCAAGCCAACCCAGCTGGCCCATCAGCAGTTTGCTCCTAGGACCTGCGGAGGATGCCTGCAGCCTAAACAAGGGCAAGCACTGAGGCGGAGCAGCTTCCTGGGAACCCGTCGCCCTGGAGAGAAGACCCTGGTCCTCTCAAGGTGTTCTGGGTTCAAATCTTGGCTCTATCATAGCAGACTGGTAACCTCTCTGAGCCTGAGTTTCTTCAACTCCTAGCCTCATTTCCTTTAAGCGGAATGGAGATAAGACTCCATGCCTTTCTCTCTGACAGACTTTATGGAGCACACAACTGAGAACTGGCAGTCACAACAAGCACCACAGTGGGTGGGCAGACTCACCAGAGGAAACGATATCAGCTCATCTGAATTCATAGCACTCAGCTCCTTCTTAGAGATGGGGAAACTTGGAGGCAGGAAGTACCGTAGACAATTCCTAAACAAGAAGGAAGGTGGGACAGGAAATCAGAATAGCACAGAGTTGGTGGGGAGCCACCACTGGTCCCAGAGCAGGACAATAACACACCGAAGAATCTGGACGAGGAGGTCAATGGTCTCGTGGTTGGTGCTGGGGGCGGTGGTGTCAGGTTCGATGGGGATGCAGTCTGAGGTGGAGGGCTCTGCCGTGGCTATAGCCTGCTGGGCCACCGAGTCCCCTGCTGGGGCCACCGCCGCCACCACCTCTTCCCTGCCCTCCTGACGTGTGTCCGGGCTCTGATACTCTGGGGACGGGGGCTTCATCAACCGCACGTCCTCGCTGCCTCTCTCCACCCTAGGGAGAACCCAGTGATTGTCACACGTGTTCCAGGCTCCCAAACGGGCTGCCTGCCCCTGCCCTGGCCAACTGTCAACCCATCTTCCCGGAAGGGGTGTTACCAGCGGTCTCTTGGTGTTGTGTCCGTGGGCACATAGTCAAATTTCACCTTCCACCGCACCGCATTCTTGCCCACCTCCACAGCTGTGACACGGCCTGTGTACCACTCCCTATTCACACGCACCTCCACGTGCAGCCCTTTATCTGAGAGAGGGAGCAGGACTGGAGTCAGAATATTGGATGGACTAGAGCCCCCCACCTAGCCAGGGCCACCCAGGTTCACAGGGACAAGAATCCCTACAAGTTGATCCCACTAAGCCAGGGAGGTGGAGCCCAGCCACCCTGGCCTCCTTCCCCACTTCCCCTCACGAGGTGCCACAGAGCAGCAGGATGACTGATGGCCAGAGGTGAACACCAAGGAACTGATGCTAAAAATAAACATGAGGGTGTGCTATCCTCAGAATGCTTCTCTGAATTAACACTTGAAACCACTGTTGGATGAGAGCCCAGAGCCAACAAAGCTTCCAGGAGCCTTCGCAATGAAGTGCCGCTGACCAAGGGACCCTTTCCCACTGCCTCAGAGGCTCCAGGTACCTCCTAAACTTACCTTTCTGAGCGCTCTTGAGGTCAGCCGAGTCCTCTTCCCCAGAGCTGTCTGAGAGCTGCAAGGACAGTCTGTTAGAGACACCGCCAGTGTCCCTGCAGAGCAGACCGTCCACCCGGGGTCATCTCATGCCACCTTAGGCAGCCTTTTAAATGCCCAAGCTTCATGGAGAGCTACTCTCTCAACCACTGTCTCAGTATCTACACACCTGCCTCCAAAAACCCCCAACGACAGAGCAGACATGGGGCAGAACGGCACAGGTCTGCGTGGGCATCAGCTGAGGCCTGTGAGCAGGGCCACCATCCGCCCCAAGACCCTCCCGGGCACTGTGCTTCTAGTCATGTGTGTGCCTGCAAGGCCCTCAGAGCGGGGCTGGGCCTCTGGTCGGTGCGTGTCACAGCCTGCAGGGGCGGGCACAGACCCCGGGCGCCAGGAGGCTGAGGACCTACCTCATTCAGGTCCTTCTTCTCCTCCTTCACAGCAAACTTGCCCCTCTTGGACCGCTCCTTCCTCTTCTCAGCCTCTTCCTCTGTTTCTTCCTCATCAGAGACCCCGAGGCTCCGCTTCCGACCAGGAGTGGCCTGCTGCAAAAGCAGCAGGAATGTGAGGGACTCTTTCAGCCCCTCAGGTGCTGGAAGAGCCCATGTGACCTAAAGGAGCCACTCAGAGAGGGGCCTGTGGGTCTCTGTGTCCACCAGGGCTGGGCACCCAACACAACAAGGGACATGGTAACGCCCACGAGGCCCAGCCCCCACAAGGACCTCTGCTCAGAGCTGCGGCCGCAGGGGCCTCTCGGCTCACACCTCACTGAGCCACACCCGCCACTGCTGCCCCCAGGCTGCCCCCTCTGCCCACAGCAGGAGAAGCCAGTGGAGGTGACTCGGGTCTCTGGGGTACCAAACCTCGGAGGGGTACCAGAGAACTTCCTGGACAGTGGACCAACAAGCTCCGTGCCCCCTCCGAGTGCCTGTGATCCCTCTCCTGCTGCAGGGGCAGCAGGGAAGCCGGATTTCCACCAAGCACCGCCCCATGCCACCAGCACCGCCCCTCCACCCCCGTACCACCGCGGGCGGTGCTGGGGGAGCAGCTGCAGCTCACCGGGGAGAGTTTAGCGGGCAGCTCTGGCTTCTTGACCACTGGAGTCTTCAGGGCTCGGGGGGAAGGGACCTCCCGAGGGCTCCTGGAGTTGGGCTGGGGAGATGGCAACGGTGGCTGCACCGGTGGGCTGGGCCAGGACGCAGCCCTAACCGGAGTGCTGGCAGGCTTCCGGGGTGCCTCGGGAGGCTGGAGTAGCCGGGAAGTGCTGGCCACCTCCCGGGCGGCCGGGGCAGCAGGCTTTGGGGTGCTACTGATGACAGGAGCCTTTCTGGGCTGGCTGGCTGGCCTGGGAGCTTGAAGGGAAGGGGGTCTGCTCGGGGCATTCTTGATCACAGCGGGTAAAGGAGGCGACCGAGGACGCTGAGGTCTACGTGCAGGTTCCTGAAAGAGGCTCAGAGAGTGAGAATACCAGTCCCAGCACCAGACACCCAAGAAGAGCCCCTGCCACCCCAGGGCTTCACCTCAGAGGAAGGTCTGGTGGTCACTTCCAAGGGCAGTTTCTTCAGGTCAGCCTGGGAGCGAATGGGTGTGGTTTTCTGCAGGGTAAACAGGATGAGGAGGTGGTTTGTGTATCTGGTGCTTGGAAGTCAACTCTTTTTGGAGCCCCCTCTATCTGGGACAGTGGGCAAATAAAGACCATCTGGACCCCAGTCCTACTATTACAAGCCTCCCATTCTCACTGAGAAGACAGAAACTCACAGACAGTAAACCACCAGCAAATTACAGGATTCTACATGATTATTCCAGCAATCAAGAGACTGGGGAAAAGTATCAGTGGACTAAATTCCTACAAAACAAGTCAAAAGACGGGAGATCCCTAATGGACAAAGTCAGAAAGGACCCATGGGATTCGGCAGACAGAGGCACACATACACTACGACGTGAGGACCTGCCTGACCAGAAGCCAGAAAGGAAAACACTTTTCTAATAAACACGATAAAAGACTGAGGCCACACATGTATCTTAACCCTGACTAATCAATTAAGGAAAAAACTTTTTTTTTTAAAAATGAAAAAAAAAAAAGGTTCAATTTTAGAAATATGAAACTCAAATTATAAGATGTATATCTTTTTTCAAATTTTCAAGAACATTTAAAAAGTACTTGTATTAAAAAAAAAACCTAAGATATAATACATCTTCTGGAAGATAACTTGGAAATAAACAAATCCACAGAATTTTAAAAATCCTTTTGCTCTTTCAAATTCACTTCTGGAAAACTATCCTAAAAAATTAGGCATTAAAAAAAAAAAAGTATGTGTGATATGACACAAAAGTCATGATCTCCATATTTCTAATAAAAAATACATGTATTTATGCTAGTGGTCATAAAAAGCTGGATATGAAGTTAATGGTGGTTACCTCTAAAATAGGATAGTTCCTGGAGTTTCAAAACATTCCAAATGAATTGGATCTCTTTGTAATATACAATTTTTTTTTAAGAATAATCAAGGCATAGGGGAAGGGGGTGTTGGGAAGCTCGGGCACTGCTTATGGGTTCAAAAGGAGGGTGAAACTGAGCCCAAGGGAAGAAAGGAGCACTGAGGGGCCCGCCCACCTGCCCACTGCCCACTCACCTGCAGGGCCTCCAGCTTCTCCTGCTGCTGGCGGATTTTCTGCGTCAGCTGCTTCTGCCGCTCCTCCTGCGTCTTCGGGTCTTTTCTCAGTGCCCCCAGGGGGAGCTTCTGCTTCTGCTCAGAGGCCTCGCACCTGTGGAGATGTAGCGCTAGAGAAGGCGCGGCAACCGGCTCCAGGCAGTGCAGCGCCCTTCCTCCTCCGCCAGCCCGTGCTCTCTCTCATCAGAGCTACCTCAGACCTCCCAAATGCACAGGATTAATACTCACGCAGGACACGGTTCTGCTTCTATCTCCAGGCACTTAGTATGCACGGCAAGACAGAGATGTAGTAAGGATAGAGCAGTGACTTCAAGAAGCAGAGTGGAAGGGTGGAGAAAGCTCAGGGGGTGCGGGGGGATGCCCACAAACGCCTTGTCAGAAAAAGCACTCACCGGTCCTGCTCAGGATCAGGGTTCATGGAGCAAACCCAAGTGTCAGGGTAATCCCTCTCCACAGAATTCAGCTGAAAGGGGAGTGTCCGCCACTTCAGACACAGATCTGTGACCAAAAAAACACCCCCAAGCGTCAGCCATGCCCACCAATAACGGTCAGGCTCCTCCCAGCCAGGCCCAAGGCAGAGATGCCCCTGACTGTCCGTGCAAAGATCCTCAGCCTGGCTCCACCTCTGCCTTCCTAACAGAATAGTCACTCTTACCAGGGACAGTGATTCCAGCAAGGATGGAAACTTTATTCATACACCCTCAGCGGCCCCAGCCCTCTCCTCCTTCCAGCAGGATCCTGGCTCAGTCATCACTCACACTTCTACCCATGTGGTATCAAACTGGGTTAGATGACCTCCTGCCTCGTTCAGGAGGAACATCTGGGCACGGCACAGTCCCAAGACTGAGTTCCCAGGGCCCTCACCAGACAGACTGGTATACCCAGGGAGACAAAAGTCCCTGAATGTCGGTGCGGTGAGACCAGCACAGAACCACGATGGAAAGGAGCTGGGAAGAGGTGCTGCGTGACACCCAACTCACCACACTGGATGGTGGTTGGGATCTCCATGGATCGCCGCCGCTTGTAGCGCAGCTCACTGGATGGGGGCTGGTTCCAGTTGGCAGAGAGGTAGCCAAACTCATCCCAGAACTTGATGATTCCCCGCTGGGCTGGAAGGCAAACGCCCACGTGTCGAGTAAGGAGGCAGGCCCTCAGACAGGGAGGACCCCCGGCTGGCAGGGAGGAGCATGACGTTACCAATGGCGATGTCCTTCCAGTACTGTGCCAGGTGCTCCCCCATGGCCCGCAGCAGGTGCCGGTACTCCTTGGCGTCCGCAAAGTCCTGCTTGTTGTGTGTGGGCTCCAGGACCAGGTAGGGCACATCGACGACCCCAACAACCCCACCACATGCCCTACAGGAGACGGAGGAAGACACCGTGGTCACCCACTGGCCAAAGCCCTCCCACCACCTGTCCACGCTGAAGCCCTCCCTGGCAGCACTCACATGCCACCTTCCAGCTGTGGGCCCACTTTCTCATACATCTTGATCAGGCGGCTACAGTTGTAGATGAACATTCCATCCAGGTCCCGGTGTTCAATATTGACCCCGAAAACAAAGTTCAGTTCCTTAGGTTCTTTAAGTGCTCTAAGAAGGCGAAAGATAAATTCAAGCAGATCAACGCCTTAACACACACCATAGTGCTTACGACTAAGCTGAAACTTGAGACACTTAGAAGTTTTGCCTTTGCATTCAATATGCAACCTGTTAAGACTCAGTAAGGATACGCACTGTGCAGTCACTCTTAGTTCCCCCTAATTAAAAGCAAATGACCCTGGCTTTTGGCATCAAACAGGAATGGATTTAAGAATGAAGAAGATTCTGTGAAAATGCTGCAAATCTGTACAAAGATAGCTGTACTTTGGAATAAACACAAGGTAATCTGCAAATAGCAGAGAATCCACCTGCAATGTGGGAGACTCGGGTTTGATCCCTGGGTTGGGAAGATCCCCTGGAGAAGGGAATGGCAACCCACTCCAGTATTCTTGCCTGGAAAATTCCATGGACAGAGGAGCCTGGTGAGATACAGTTCATGGGGTTGCAGAGTCAGACACAACTGAGCGACTAACACTTTCACTACAATCTGCATAAACACTCCACCAATGTGACAGTGATTAATTTTAGAGAGACAAAAATTCACAAGAACAATGAACACGTGAGAGAAGAAACATCTATCATGGGATGTTAACAAAATCAAGGAAACTGAAAAGGAGATAGACAACCAGTGGATGGACCCCCAGGACAGAAACTGGACACCTACGCCTGTGGTGAGGAGGTCAAGAAGCAAGCAGTAACTCACGCCCAGAGCCTGCAGAGGCTCCAGACGTGCAGGCAGACACAGAGATCATGTGATGAGCATGACAAATGCCCAGTTTAGATGAAAAGGAACAAACTCAACCTATAGCATTATTCTATATCTGTAACCAGGGATAAAAATTAAGAGTCGGTATCACCAAGTGGGAGACCAGTTTATAAGGAAGTTTATAATTTATAAACATATAATTTTATACATAAATTATATAAATTTATATAATTTACAAGGAAGCTTACAATTGTATTTCTTACACGTTCTATATTTTACAAGTTGTATATGATAAGCACTTTATCCATCCTTTCAATGAAAAGAAAAAACAAAAAGGAAAGGAAGAGGGAAAGGACAGGGAAGGTGGGGAGAGAGCAGAGGTGAGAGAGGGAAGTGGGGAGGGAAGGTGAAACAGCGCCCATGAGGACAGGCTGGTGTTCCACTCAAGGTGCTGGTTCTGCCCGCCGAGTCCTGGCTCAGGAGGGAACTGAGCCAGGAACCCACCCTGGGAATCACAGCGTTAAAGGCTTTCTCAAAGGAACCATGTGTGACAGAAGGCAACCTAGCAGGGTGGGGAGGGAATCCTCGAGCTCTCTGCCAATCATCCACACAAAAGTACATGGCCATACAAGGCCCGCGGGCAGCCGGGCACTCACCGCTGCTTAGCCTCCTTGATCCGCTTCTTGACGTCGGCTTCCCTGCGCAGAGTAATGGCTGTGTTCTGGACCTGTCGCAACATCACCTAGAGACACACACCAGCACCAGATAAGGAGAGGAAGGCCTCTGGGCCACAGCAGGGAATGTCACACCAGGCCTAAACTGCTCACTTTGAATCATGTGGATGCCAAGACCAAACCTGGAAATTTAGCTCCTTTCTGCAGAAGAGGGCCCTCACCAGGGACAAGTTCAAAAGCTGTGCTTCATGTGACCAGAATTGCTGACATTAAGGGAACAACCCCAAACAAAGCCACAGTCTACGGAGGTGTATATGGCAGAGGAGGGGCAGAGAACTGCTTCGACCACTACTACTGTGTGTGACCTGGGCAACGGACCCTCTTCCATTTCCTTCTATGAACTGAGGATACTGTAACAATGTCCTCATGTGGTGAGGTGCCATGAGTGTGCAACAGTGACTATAGAAACATCAACATATCCCATTTTACATCTTTAGCGCAAGGGTTCGTGATTGGCAGGACATGGAGCCAGGTCAGCAACGCTGGAGTCTCACCCTGGAGTCCCGCGTGAGATCTCCGCCTAGGCGCACTTCCAACGTCCGAGCTTTGCTCTCTGCCTCCCGTGCCTTCTCTTCAGCTGAAACCCAGAAGAAGAAACCATGATAAGAACGGAAAAAACAACAACAACAACAAAAAACGCAAAAGATCAAAACTCTTATTCAATCCCCCCTTAGTGTGCAGGTCAGAAACACAGGAGTGCTGGAGTGCAGACTTGCTTGTAAAGTCAAGGAGGCTGTGAGGAAAATAGACACGTTTTTCCAATTCTACAAATAAATCAGACAAATAAAAAACTGCCTGAGGCAACAAAAATTAAACCCTCAGTAGGAGCTGGAAGTTACCAACGTCCTCAGCAAATCACTCTCTGCAAGCAGCCAAGAAGCTTTGCCAGCATGAGAGACCTTGAGATTTTTACCCTGGAGTCAAGAAAACCAATTTCATGAGTATCTGTGCCAGAGGCCAGTGTGGGATTCTTGGCTTTGGGCAGAGGAGCTGAGGAGTTAGTGCTGCTTCAGGTAAGTGCCTATAAATGCGTGAAGGAGCAGCCTGGGGAGAAAAACTGCTGAGGCGACTGAATGTGGAGGGGGTGCAAGAGGAACCAGGGCAGAAGTTCAGGACAGCCCACCCTGGGTGCTGGATGGAGCTTCTGCCGCAAGTCAGTACCGAGACAACCCTGCCAACCCTCCTGCCCAGGCGTTCATTACCAATCCTCGCCACGTGCTCAGCTTTCTTCACCTCCTGCTCCGCACGGGTCTTGAACCGGCTTGATGTGTACTTGTACATCCTGGGGGAGAGGTGGGTAACCTCAGGGCCCGAGTACCAGGGACCCAGGGTAGCAAGTGTCCTGGCCGCCCCCACCATGAGTCCAAGCCAGGTTTCTCTTAGCAAAAACACTCAATTCCCGACTCCACTTGCCCTCTGCCTCCTGCTCCATCTCTGAAAAGCAGCCTCCCTGTACTCACTGAGATAGCCGCCTGTGCCCAGCTGAGCACCCTCCACCTGACAGAAGGCACATTCAGTGAGCCTCCCCAGCCACCGCCATCCCTCCCTGGGGACCCAACAAGTTTGTCCGCAGTAAATCGCAAGCAGTTTAAAGGCCCAAATGCAGTCAACACCACCAGCCACTCAGCCACCACGACTCCAATGATGCCCCAAAGACACTCGGTCAGGCCCCGTCCTAGGCCTGAGGAAACGGCAGGCCCGGGTGGGCAGGCCCCTACCTGGGCTTGTACAGGCAGCAGGAGAGCCTCTTGGTCTGCACCTTGTGCCCATGGATGAAGATCCGCATCCGGGGATCAATATAGAGCACGGCAGCGTAGGCACGGAAGGAGCGGCGCTCTGGCTTGCTGGAGGTGCAGGAACAGAGCGTCTGTCTCCACCCCACTCCCAGTTCACTCCAGGCCTGGCTGGATGGCCTCTCCTTGGGTTCTCCACCTGTCCACTTCCCACCTCAGCTTCTCTTGCTGCCGAGGGGTGCCTTCCCTGTGTGGGCACGTGCCCACCACGTCCCCACTATAGACTCAGCAATTCCTCGCCCCTCTAGGCCTCTCTCTTCCTCAGTTAAGGAGTTGGAGCAAGGATCTGGATTAGCTCAGGACCCGCTGTCATCCTATTCATCCCTTCCGCCTTACGGCAGGAAAACATGGCATTCTCAGCCTTACCAGCTCTAAAGCTGGGGAATTCAGGGCACACGCTCACCCCCTCGCCCTCAGGTCACCTCCCTTTTCCTCCCTCCCCAGTCACACTCACGTGCCCTCTGGGGAAGTCTCTGCCATCTGGATATCCCTTGGATTTGAGATTATATCCAGCTCTGGCTCTCCGTTATCCATGAGTTTGAGGTTGAAGATGATTACCAGCGTTCCTAGGAAACAGAAATCCTCCTACGGTTCTGCCAGGAAACCCCAGCCAGCCCCACACCACTCAGGGCTCTGGAGGGCTCCAATGCTAGGGCTGCAGGTGCAAAGCTTCCTTACCGCTGTCCCCAGGAATCTTCATGAACTGAGTCATCACCTCCTCTTCATTGCGGAAGGGAGAATATTTGTAGATGAGTTCTGTCTCGATGGCAAACTTCTCCACGTTATCTGTGACAGGTTCCCGGTTTCGAGCATTCCAAGTGGGCAATGGGACTATCACCTTTGGAGTAAGCACAGCAGGTGCTTTGAAGGAAGCCCCAGAACAGCCTTCCCCCCACATATACATCCATCTTGTCCTTCCCCACAGTGGCTCCACACTGGCCCAGAGTCCCCAACCAGGTAACAGAGGCTCTAGCTTCTGCCCCTTCCCAAGGCTCAGCCTCAGTTGCTAGGTCCTCTGGGTACATATGCTGGTTGATGGCCAGGGGGTCTCTGCATGAGCAGTTCCCTGCTTGGGATGTCCTTGGTCACTCCCCCAATTTGTTAATAATTCAACTCTTCCCCCTAAGCAAAATATATTTCCAACTATCTAGTGAAACTCCAATACTTTGGTCACTTGATGTGAAGAACTGACTCGTTTGAAAAGACCCTGATGGTGGGAAAGATTGAAGACAGGAGGAGAAGGGGATGACAGAGGATGAGATGGTTGGATGGCATCACCGACACAATGGACATGTGTTTGAGTAAACTCTGGGAGTTGGTAATGGACAGGGAGGCCAGGCGTGCTGTAGTCCATGGGGTCACAGAGAGTCGGACACGACTGAGTGACTGAACTTAAGTGAATCCGAAGGCACACATAGACATAACTTACAACTCAGCAATTCTACCCCAGTTATCTACCCTAGGAGAAATTCCTGTATATACTTCCTGACATATATGTAAGACATATGTGTAAGAAAACACAAATAACTGCAGAATGGATAAGCTAAACTACAGTGTATTCATAGAACGGAATTCTGGACAGTGATAAAGATGAACCACCTACAGGAACTAGCATCAACAGGGATGGATCTCACAAACACAATGATACATGAAAGCAGCAGAGTACAGAATCAAAACCAAACCCATGGGAAGGAGGTTCGGGAGGAAGGGGACATGGGTGTACCTACAGCTGATTTTTGTTGGTGTTATGACAGAAACCCACAAAATTCTGTAAAGCAATTATACTTCTATTAAAAAATTAAAAAAAAAAAACTCTACAGGATGGGTCCATTTATATAAAATTCACAACTAGGGAACTAAACTACTATTTAAGAATGCATATCACAGGTGACAAAATTACAAAACAAGGAAATGATCATCACCAAAGCAGCTTCTTTGGAGGTGAATAAGGAACACAGTGGGCGAGGGGCCCACAGGGACCGCCAGCCTTAGTCTGTGACGGTGGCTATGTGAGTACCTGCTTTATAACTATTCTCTCAAACACACACAGATTATTTTTATTGAAGTCTAGCTAATTTACAGTGTTAATTGCTGCTGCATAGCAAAGTGATTCAGTTACATATCAGTTACATATACCCAGATTTTAATATGCCCTTTTATATGTATGAGATTTAATCTTACATCTAGGTAATCTTCTAAAAAATCCTACTCTTGTCAAAGAGGGAAAAAGTCCTATTCATTCTTCAAAAACCCTACAGCAAATGCCACTTTTCCAGAAGCATCAATTGCATTTCCCCACAGCTGCCGGGGAGCCCTGTGGCCTGGGGCTCCCTCTCCAGAGCAAACCAGTTCAGGCACCCTAGCAGGGTCAAAACTGATGCCCACCCTGTGGAGAAGGGGACTCTGTGTCTTAACAAGCTCTGCAGTGATGAACTGCTATGAGTTCTGAAGCACTTCACTGGTTTCTAAGAACGAACCCTGGGGCTAGTTTGGACACATTCCTACCCAGCTGAAAATGATCTTATTTTAAAATCTTGGCCGAGTTCACACTAGAGTACAATCCAAAACAGTGACCTTCTAGCACCAAGTAAGGAAAAAATTTCAACCTAGCTTTTTCGCCAAGGGAATTGAGCTCCATTTGTGTTCTGTGAATCTGTGCCTCTCTCCACACCTCCCACCCTTCTCGGCAACCCCAGGTGACAACCGCATCACTTTCACCTGTGGGCACTTCACCACATTTGGCATCACCTGCCAGGGGAACACAGCTCCTTTCCTTTCAGCGTCACCACTCTCTTGGTTTTCCCCTACACACCAGGACCTCAGCCATCTACAACCCCTCCTCCTTCCCCTTTCCCCTCTCCAACTGACTGACCACCACACCTGAGGCCCCTAGAGATGGTGACCACTCCTATTTATCACACCTCCTGCTAGAGTCCTGCCAAGCTACAGACAGCCACAGCCTCTCAACACCAGTACCCTGATCTTTCCAATCCAGCCACCAAATAGCCAAACTGATCTTTCCAAAGAGAATCTGACACTGTCACACCCCTGCTTAGATTCCCTTTAGTAGCTGCTTTTAATAAAGTCTCACTCACTTCCCAAGGCCTGGGGGTCAAGTCCAACGTGCCCTTCCTGTTCTCCAGAGGCTTCTACCATCTGCCAAGTCCGCTCCCACAGGCCCCACCCACTCTCAGGTCCTGGACCACTTCTGCTGACATGTACCCCCTCCCCCTGCCACCCTAAGTCATTCAGGGAAAGACCCAAAGAGCCCAGCAGGGGCTGCATCCTCCAGCCCCTCCTTCCCAAGAGGGCTCTCCTGCCGTGGCACTTGATTCACTGAAAAGGCAAACACACCCTCTGGCTCACCAAGTAAACGCACACGAGCTCATCTACTGCGATTTAGCCCCACACCTAAACAAGGCCAGTGCCCGTCTAAGCACAGCCAGCCAACACAGATGAGATCCACTCAACTCTGACCAAATCCACCTGCTTACACGACAGACATGTTCTCTGCAGACTCTCTCGGCCCCCTTTCTCAAGCTCTCACCTCCATTTCTCACAGCAAAGGAGGTAAGAGCCCAGCCTGAGGCTGGACACACCAAGGCCTTCCATGATCCTCCCGTGAGCGGGTCTGGACCTCACCAGACCAGCTCTGCAGATATCTGAGCCACCAGGCCCAGAATCAGCTGGGTAACTTACGTTTCATTACCAAAAGGTTTCAAAGTCAGAATATTCTAGAGTCATTAGGCCTCCCTTCTAGCGTACCAATAATCAGCTGGGGCTGAGTGTCAGCTGCCACTCACGAAGAACTTACACTGATCTCCCATGTCTTCACCTGCTTCACCTCCCGCCCAGGCCGTGTGGGTAATCAGACCTGCAGCCTCTAATACCGACGGTGAACAGAAAAGGCACTCAGGGCACAGGCCACAAAATCACCACCACTCGGGAAAGATAGCACTCTTCCTCTTGTTATCACCCCCGGGGTTCTCCACCCGTAGTGGGGGAAGCCCCAAACACTCCCCCTGACGAAACAGCTCTCCAGAGGGATGCCCCCTGCCCTGCCCCACACCCCAGGACCGAACTCAAGCTGCAGATCTAGGAGAGATACAAATGCAAGTCTTGGCTCCTGCCACGTGCAGCCTCATTCTTAGAACAATTGTTCTCTGAAGCTGTGAGATGATACCTGCCTTAACCCCTCAACCAATTCATCCAACCAACTGGCTAATCCCCTCACCGGGGGTGTGGCTGCAATCCTGAAACCCCAACAAGCCCAGCATACAGTGACCTGCGAGAACAGCCTGGACAGAACCGGGAGATGTGGGATGGTGACTGGGAATGTGAGGAGGGGACCCACCTCATCAATGCCCTCCTCCTCATGAAAGGTGCGTGACAGGAAGAGGCAGGTCATGGTGTCTTCCTTCTTGGTGAAGAGGATGAAATCCTTCCCGATGCGCATCGAGCCCCTGAAAGGGAAGCAGATAAGGATTACTCTCCCAGGCAATCAAAAGCTCAACTGAAAAGAGCAAATCCCTGCTCTGGACGTGACGAAACTGCCTTTGGAAGGTTCCCCTAAAGGCCTCCCTGGGACCCAGGGCCCCACGCTGAGCGCCACGGCCCTGGCGCCCCTTCCTCCCCCGACACTCCTCCTCCTGCTCTTCATGGGCCCAGCTCTCCTTCTCACCTCCTCCACAAGGCCCCACCAGGCTGGGCTCTCTCCTCTCTCACCGCTGAGCACCAGCCCCTGCCCCAGCCCCAGCCTATCACTGTCCGTGCTCTGGGCGCCTCCCAGCCACACAGGCTTCACTCCAGTAACACCTTCAACACATCAACTGCCACGCTGAGCATATCCAGCTCTCGCCCTGTCCTTCCTTCGCTGACACAAACTCCCCCCATCCACTCGTCTAAGGACAGCGCTGTCAGGGGAAGGGAACAGCCCACAATGCCTGTGCTTACAAGTCCTCCGAAAACCAGGGTGACCTCAAGGCTCAGCCGAGTACAGGGCTAACCAGGCAAAGCATCACTGCTGAAGAGTTTCAAGGGGGCCTACCACTGACTCATGGCCAATAACCACAGCCACCCTGGGTCTTCAATTGTCTAGTTATGTCTACTCATTAAGCCACAGGTCCCTGCTGTAGGACACGAGTGGTTTCTGAGAGATATGCCTCGAGGCTGACTTCCAGAAGGCAGAAGTCTGAATGGAATCAACTCCTTCCTCAACTTGGCCGAGTTAATCCTTCTGAGGAGCAGGCAAGGACACACCTTTCCCAACAATATGGAACAGAGCAAAACCATAAAACATGGGCGGAGGGGTGCCCACTGAGCAACAGCCACGCAGTTCCTGTCCCGAGCAGCCTCTGTTACCTCACTAGTCCTCTCAGACCCCAGGGTGGTGATGGTGCCGGGAAGCCTTCTTACTCTGCTGTGTGCAAACACAAGCCGGGCCGGCATGCCAGGCACACAAGTGAACGCCATGACCCATGTCCCCAGACATTTGGGAAAACTCCAGGACACTATCCAGAGACAACCTGGGGGCTGCAAAGTTCTGTTTCTCGTTCTCCGCTTTCCTAGGCGCTGGCAATGCTCCCTCCCCGAGACAATCTCATGGTCCTCCTCCTCCTGCCTCCCTGAAACCTACCGGGGGCAAAATGAGGCAAGTTAGCTTGCCTTCTGTCAAAGCCTGCTCATGCCCTAATTTGGCAAAACCTCCCTTTTGTGCCTCTTCCCTCTGTCTTTGATCCTGAGCGTGGAGGGGAAATAAATAGCAACCACTCAAAAATGCCACTTCTCTGCTGACTTCTCTGCTTCTTAGCCCTCTTCTCACCACAAATCACTTCCTCCTGAACCTCTCAATTTCTAAATTCATCTCAAAATGAATTCAGTCTGAACACTAGATGGCCCCATCTCAATGGCTCCTCCCCAAAAGACGTTCGACTAAATACACTGATGACAACACTCCCAACTTCTGTATGTTTTCCTTCCTGGTCTTCTAAGCACTTTCAGACTCACATTTCATCTACTCCTGAAACTTGCTCAGTAAGGAAGAATGTCAGTGATTAGAAACCCATATTCTACAGGAGGAAACAGACATTCAGAGAGGTGAAAGGACTTGTCTGAAGCCACAGAGCTGATGAAACCACATAGGAGGAGGCTGCCTACCATCCAGAAGGGAAGTCAGGGTTTCTTACATCTGAGACATCAGTGGTTGGAAACTTAGATCACCATACCAGAATCACCTAAGGAACACGTGGCGGGGGGGGAGGATTCCCAGACCCTACCCCAGGTTCACCAAATCAGGCCCCAAATTTAGCATGGAAAGATCAAAGGAGGAGAGAGAAAATCAAAGTGAGAAACCAGGCCAGGGCACTCATGGCCCTAAATGACAGTGTGCAATTCTTAACCCACTCACATGTGTGATACCCAAGTTACAAAGGCGGAAGCTGAGCCTCAGAGAGGTAAGTGACTAATGTCAGATCCAAACCCTGGTTTGTCTGACTCAAACGAGGTAGACAGCAGCCCCGGCCCTGCCATCAGAAAGACGTGGTGCACACCTCAGCACTACACATGGGCATTTTCATACCTTTGGGCAAGCCACTTCACCCCTATAAACCTTGTTTCTCTCATCTGAAGCTGAGAATCATGGTATCTACACCTCACAGGGCTAGGGTGAGGATTAAACTAAATGATCCAAGCGAAGTTTTTTAGCACCATGTCCTGCACGTGCTAAGTGCCTGACACTAAGAGACGAGTGGGAAGTCCAGACATTAGGTCTGTGCTGTCGTGGGAGGCATCATCTCTCTTCCACACAAGCCCAAGCCTGCTGCACAGATGTACAACCGATGCTGCTGCCCAGCCAAACACACCCTCAAAGAACACAACACGTTTCCACAGCAAGACCAGAAACATGACTCAGAACTCCATCTGTACAAACTCTAATCCCAATAAATCTTATTCCATCCAAAGGTATGTACAGCTGGAAGTGAGCATTTCAGAAATAGAAACCTTTCTCTTGGGGCTTTGCTCAAAACCAGAACAACACATTCCACACGCTAAACAAGTGGGAACCAAGGGGCTGAGAAAGAAGTCCCAAGGGATGTGAAGACATTAGGTAAGTCCCTTCTACAGGGCCTAGCAGGACATGTGGGCAGCAATCATGTCCTCTGTGTGGGGGAGGCTTTGGGTCTCTCTCTTACCCTGGATCCCCAACGCCTGGCACAAAGCATGGCAGGTGCTCTGGGAACAATGTTGCACCAGGGGGCAGTCCCTCACCACCTCAGATGCATCCCAAGAACACAAAACGACCACTAGCGTCCTCAATCACAGGCACAAACAAGAATTTTCAACCAGAGGAGAGGCACCATTCCAGAACACAGTGCTAAGAGAAACCTACAGCTTCTACTACCTCAACGGTTCGAGACATTCACACTCTTTCATCTGTGGCATAAACCAGACTCAAAGTTGATTTAATTCACGTTTCTGGCCGTCAGTTGCTAAGTCCCTAACCACCACCCCTTCCTGACTGTCCTCCTGTTCCACGATTAAGGTGATGGAATGACAAGGAGAGCATCGCTTGATTTTGTTGAGTCCTGTGACGGGCTTCTGGCATACTTACGACTTTAACCCGTTCCCGTACTGCCCAATCTGGGTGGACTCAGGCGTTCGCTTGGCCGACTTCCCAAACTGGATCACGCTGGCAGCATCACCTGGAGTGGCAGGCGAGAGAGAAAGGGGAAAGTGTGCTTTTCTTTCCCGGACTCTCAAAAATCAAAGGTCTGAACCTCATTTAATCCAAGCGGGGCTATCTGTCTACTGAAAACCTCTGCCAGGAAATTCACAACTGGGAGGCACATGGAGGAAACCTGACTGGCCTGTCAGTACCACCATCCCGAAGTCCTAGTTCTGTTACCAGGACATGGTAACCAGGCTGGGGCAGGCCACCACAGTTCCAGCTCCAGGATGTTACGCAAGCCAGTGTCAACAGACAGGTAGCCTGACGGACTTAAGGCTGCCATTCAGATCCTATCTCCCACATTAGGACAAGACCTGGCAAATCCGTGAGTGGAATTAGCCTGAGATGTTGCGAGACTGCTCTTGCCCTTCTAGTCACAAGAGTGAGGCAACAGAAAATCAAGTTAACACAATAAGCATTTTATAAAAACGCTTAGTTACATCCTCCCCTAAAGAAGCAATCAGCCCATCACTTACTTGGATCCATTCCCGCTCCATCATCCAAAAAACAGAGCATAAATCCTCCTCGAAGGTCCTCCCGCCTTTCTGTAAAAGGAGGAGCTGCCATTACCGGGCGGTCACCCACCAGAGGGCATGACTTGGGCATGATTGGAAGGTGGATCACCGCGAAGCTGGGTCCAAAAAGGTCTTCTCTTCAAGCAACCCCAGCAGGTGAGAGAGAAACGGGAAAGTCTGCTCTTCCTTCCCAGGCGCTCAAAAATCAAAGGTCTGAGCCTCTTTCAATCCAAGATCCCCCACCCCAGGAGTGAGACCAAGCGGAGTGCAGTGAGAGCTGCCTGGTTTCCTTCCCACTGCAGCTGCTCAAAGGTCCTGGAAGGAGCAGTCACTGGACCGTAAGACACAGCGCAGCTGTGGCCAGGTGTCCTGGCTGACAGGAAGGAAACCCCACAGACTAAGGCCACCATTCCAAGGGAAGAAAGAACCCCCCCTGCAGCAGCCATCGCTACAGCAGCAAGTGGTCACTCAGAGCAAGGCTGGGTCCAAGCACACCATGAAGGCCATAGGACAGTCCCCCAAACAGGGAAAGGTTTGCTAAACCAGTTTCCAAGGTGCCTTTCGACTCCAATGATGAGGTTGAGATGGGCAGAGGAGGAATAGCACAGGTCTTGGAATCAGGAGACCATGTGTACTAAAAGGAGGAAGGTCAGTTTATGGTGCTACAGGGATAAGTCCGCAGTGGCTCGGAGTCTTGTTCCTAACTGAGGACATTTCTGTCTCCACCAAGCTACAGTTTGCCAACTTTATACACCTATCTAAGCAAAGGACTCTTAGTCTAAAATGCTCTCTGTCCTCCCCTCCGGCTAAAGATTCAAGTAAATTATAAATTGCCTCTTAAATGGGTTAATGTAATTTAAAATGCTATTTCAAAAGTACAATAAGCCACAGAAATTTTCAAGTATCACTTGCTGTTCAGGAAGGTGAACTTTCAGTTCAGTTCAGTTCAGTCGCTCAGTCGTGTCCGACTCTGCGTGACCCCATGGACCGCAGCACGCCAGGCTTCCCTGTCCATCACCAACTCCCGGAGCTTGCTCAAACTCATGTCCATCAAGTCAGTGATGCCATCCAACTATCTCGTCCTCTGTCGTCCCATTCTCCTCCCGCTTTCAATCTTTGCCAGCATCAGGGTCTTTTCAAATGAGCCAGTTCTTCACATCAGGTGGCCATTAAGTATTGGAGTTTCAGTTTCAGCATCCAGTCCTTCCAATGAATATTCAGGACTGATTTCCTTTAGGATTGACTGGTTGTATCTCCTTGCAGTCCAGGGAACTCTCAAGAGTCTTCTCTAACAGCACAGTTCAAAAGCATCAATTCTTCGGCGCTCAGCTCTTTTTCTAATCCAGCTCTCACATCCATACATGACTACTGCAGAAACCATAGCTTTGACAAGACTAGCTTTGACTTTGTTGGCAAAGTTATGTCTGCTTTTTAATATGCTGTCTAGGTTGGTCATAGCTTTTCTTCCAAGGAGCAAGCATCTTTTAATTTCATGGCTGAACTCTGCTGAAACATTAACAAATGCTTCTTGATAATTCAAGCATAAGGACCTTCCTGGAAGCCCGATTGGTAGATAAGAAAATTTCTGCTTGCGACAGAGCCTTCTATCAATCTGGAGAATCCAAATGAGATCTAGTAAGCAGAAGCAAGTGCAGAAAAAGGACAAAAATCTTCAAAGTTTCCTTCTGGAGGAAGCAAAGTGTCAGATGGAGACTCAACTTGGTCAGGGACAGAGCATGGCACAGGAAGTGTTCTAAAATTCTAAATGTAGCCAAGAGCCATTTGCTGGATGATTTAGCCTAAGATGCACATGAAGACTCTGATTTGGGATCTAGAAAGTGGTTCAAGCCAAGTGCATCTGAAAAACCTCCAAGGATTACTGGTATTTCTTGAACACTACCTAGGAAGTTGCTTCCAGGCCCTTGTGTTTGGTAGGACTCACAGGCTGTTTTAGCACAGTCATCACTTAACACTGGGTCTGAGATCCCTTCCTGCTCAAGGGCTTCATTTTAGATCTTTTCCATGCGCTGTAAGAGACACACCTAGGAGGGCCCTCCTACCCGTATAGATGACCCACAGCTGTGGGCGCCTAGCAGCACTCAGGGCCATGGTCAGTACAGCACTGCCTCGGGGCCGAGACAGACTAGCTGATGCAGCAGTAACTCCTTCAAATTCGTAAAAAAACAAAAACAAAAACAAAAACCAGGCAGTGTGGCATCTTCACAATGCTTCACAATCACTCATTTATCTGATGTGCCTGGCTCTGTAATGAAGATAATAGCCAAGAACAATGCCACTATAACCACTGCCTTCAGGGAGCGTCCAGTCCAGTGGACACAACTCCCTGCAGCACCCAGTTGAGGAGGACGGTTTGAGCAGAAGACTGAGAAGAGTGTCAGCTCGAGCAAAAGCAGTGTGCATTAAGAATCACCTGAAGAGCTTATTACAAGAGATTCTGGGCTCCACCCTGGAGGGTCTGAGGTCTCCATCTGCATTTCTAAACTGCTCCCAGGTGATGCCAATACTGTCCACTACTGGACCACTCTTTGTAAAGCATAGAGCTAGAGTTAGCAAGAACTAGAGGCTCCCCTGCCTGCAACAAAACCCCCAGACATTCCAGCAGTTTGGAGACGCATTCCTCACACCTTCTACTCACTTTAATCAATCAACTGAATGACATCCAAGGAAAAGATTTTATGAAACTGGTGGAGTTCTGGACAGAGGAGGGGGTCTGGGCAGCTGGGGGTTGTCTGCGCCCCCTCTTAACATACATCCTGGAGGACAGAGCCAAACTGCCTTCTCTGCAGCTGTGCCTCAGGCCCTGGTGGCAGCTTAGGACGATCAGAACCAGTGTGGTAGGCTGCCCATCTAAGCTTCCCCTATATGACCAAGTCTGGCTTCTCCCAATTACTGCAACATTCCTCCATCCAACTCCCACTGGGGAGAACAGGAAAAAGAAAAAAGCTGGAGGAGATATGAAATGGAGCTTTAAATCAACCGTCAGAGGTGACAAGATAACGCTGTCCTCAGCAGAGGCTGTAACAGAACGATCGTCAAGTTCTTCATTGTACTCTGCAATCTGTTTGAACAGTATTCATTTCAGCTGCATTTGCTCTAAGTTTCCATTTACTAACCACTGACCTGGCATCACAAAAGGAATCTTTCTTTGAGGCACAGCAGTCCCTATGGAAGGAAGTCCAGAAAGTCAATAAAAACACAGTCTGACAGGCATGTTCTAGTCTGTCCCCATCTAATAGGAATGCGTTGGGTACCGGAGTCTGGTTTGTTTCTCACCCTTCTTTAAGCTATAACGTGAATTTGCAGCAAATTCAAACTACATTTGATGTTCGGGAATATTTCTAAGTTCAGGATCAAGCTATTTTCAGAAAGGAAAACAGGAAAATACTTTCCCTGATATATTAACAACAAAAACTTTATAGTACATTATTAATTCTATTATCCTCCATACAGTTTCTGTCCTTTATGGACTAAAGAGCCTCTTGATGAATGTGAAAGAGCAGAGTGAAAAAGCTGGCTTAAAACTCAGCATTAAAAAAAGAAACGAAGATCATGGCATGCGGTCCTATCACTTCATGGCAAATAGATGGAGAAACAATGGAAACAGTAACAGACTTTATTTTCTTGGTCTCCAAAATCACTGCAGATGGTGACTGCAGCCATGAAATTAAAAGATGCTTGCTCTTTGTAAGAAAAGCTATGCCAAACCTAGAAAGCATATTAAAAAGCAGAGACATTACTTTACCGACATAGGTCCGTACAGTGAAAGCTATGGTTTTCCCAGTAGTCAACATATGGATTTGAGAGTTGGACCATAAAGAAGGCTGAGCGCCAAAACAACTGATGCTTTTGAACTGTGGTGTTGGAGAAGACTCTTGAAGAGTTCCCTGGACTGCAAGGAGATCAAACCAGTCCATCCTACAGGAAATCAGTCCTGGGTGTTCACTGGAGGGACTGGATGCTGAAACTGAAGCTCCAATACTTTGGTCACTTGATGCGAAGAACTGACTCCTTAGAAAAGACCCTGAAGCTAGGAAAGATTGAAGGCAAGAGGAGAGGGGACGACAGAGGATGAGATGATGGGATGGCATCAGCAACTCGATGCACATGAGTTTGAGCAAGCTCCAGGAGTTGGTGAGGGACAGGGAGGCTTGGCGTGCTGCAGTCCATGGGGTCACACAGAGTCAGACACGACTGAGAAACTCAACAACAACAACAAATTCTATTATCCTACTTGTAAAATGAGGTAGCTTTGATTTCTCCTATTGCATGTGGTAATATAACACTGAGGTAGAAAGGTGTGAAGTTGGGGCACCTCAGTCAAGATGTCGAATCTCAAGGTACCTCGGGTAAATTAAGTCTTTCCGCAAAACGCCGGATTCTTGGTCCTCCTGTCACACCATTTAATCCTTAACTACCCTGACAGTTCCCTCAAGATCAAGTTATTGTTCCCCAGTCATCTGTGGAGTGCTAACTGTCTCCAATTAACAACTAAATTCTCTAATGGCAATTTAGCAAAGGCCCCACCTCATCCTCTCAGGACTCCTCCCAAAGTCCTCCCAAAGCACAACAGTTAACACTGAGCACAAAATAAAAGTACACTGGGCCATTTTCATTTAAATTGAAATCCAACTGCTCCGTTGCATTCCAAGTGAAAGCACTAAACTTCTTTGCTGAAATTCAGCCACCAAAGGTGGTAAACGACTTAAAGACTGAACTGAAAGGTGAGAGGCAGTGAACAGGAGCAGAGATGATCTCTTTTAAAAAGCTTCTTCCATGAATTCCCTGGCTGTCCAGTGGCTAGGATTCCTCGCTCTCACGCTGGGACCTTAGGTTCAATCCCTGGTTAGGGAACTAAAATCCCATAAGCTCCACAGCCAAAAAAAAAAAAGCTTCTTCCAAAATAGGATGATTTTTTTTCCTTCCACATCACTTGGAGTAGAGTCCTATTCTCTGCTTTGCCATCTGTGCGATGATTTAAACAGCTTCAACTTCTTCCAGAGGTTCCTGCTCCTCACTGAAGCACTCTGGGGTGGAAGACCTACTGTGGTGCAGGAATGATACCTCCATCTGGCCTAATGGTTATTAAAACCATCTTCTAACTTTCTTATGCTATGACCCATGCTCCTGTTATTCTCTTCTAAAATAGTCTTATTTTCACCACTTTGGCAGAGCCTTTTGAACAGTAGGTTTTTAGAACTTAAGCAGGATAGCTGATTTTTAACTGTTCTGAGTATTTTCTTTGCTCCAAAGTGTATCAGGCAGAAGGAAATCATATCTGGGAATATTCTTTACAATTATATGACACTGGAAGTTCTAAGAATTACTTTCTATTGAGTGCTTATTCCCATTGATCACAACAGGTCTGTAAAGAGAAAGAGGGATTATTTGATAACCATATATTCCCATAAAAACTCAAGTTTCTCAAAAGTGAGGCCATGCCAACCAAATTGGATTTAAAAGCAATCTTTCTCTGTTACACTTCCAAATTTTTAGTACTCAAATGACAAAAAAAATCTGCTGGTACAAACACTGGACAGGCAGAAAGCAATTTGTTTATTAAAAGTGGGGTAGGGCAACGACAATGACTAAGATTTCTGTCACTGATGTACACACTCCATAATAAAGAAAGGAGCTTACTGCCAAAGAGCAGAGCCAATCAGGCAAAAATACTGGACGTTGTCAATATTTTTAAATTCTAAGCAAAGTAGCCCTATTTCCTACCTGACTCCTCGGCCTGAGAACACCTCTGCGAACCTCAGTGCCAATCCAGTTACACGACTGTTTTGTACAACTGACACCAGCAGCTCTTCAAGCTGGGATTTGTCCTCACCAAGACTGCAGGGGCATAAGATGGCCTTCAACAAGATCTTTCTTTGGCTGCAGGAACCACAAACCCCATAAACCTGGCCACCTGCTAACTGCAATCAGGAAAATCAGTGGTACTTGGTCATTTCACTCCACATCAACCTAATTAATCTCCTAGTGGCTTTATTTAAATAGATCCATAGATCTGGAAAAGCTCTATACAGTCAGCAAAAACAAGATGAGGAGCTGACTACGGTTCAGGTCATGATCTCCTTATTGCCAAATTCAGACTTAAAATTGAAGAAAGTAGGGAAAACCACTAGACCACTCAGGTATGACCTAAATCAAATCCCTAACAATTACACAGTGAGAAATAGACTCAAGGGACTAGATCTGATAGACAGAGTGCCTCAAGAACTATGGATGGAGGTTCGTGACACTGTACACAAGGCAGGGATCAAGACCATCCCCAAGAAACAGAAATGCAAAAAGGCAAAATGGTTGTCTGAGGAGGCCTTACAAATAGCTATGCAAAGAAGAGAAGCAAAAAGTAAAGGAGAAAAGGAAAGAACTACCCATTTGAACGCAGCGTTCCAAAGAATAGCGAGGAGAGATAAGGAAGCCTTCCTCAGTGATCCACGCAAAGAAATAGAGAAGAACAGTAGAATGGGAAAGACTAGAGATCTCTTCAAGAAAATTAGAGATACCAAGGGTTCATTTCATCCAAAAATGGGCACAATAAAGGACAGAAATGGTATGGACCTAACAGAAGAAGAAGATATTAAGAAGAGGTGGCAAGAATACACAGAAAAACTATACAAAAAAGATCTTCACAACCCAGATAATCCCGATGGTGTGATCACTCACCTAGAACCAGACATCCTAGAATGTGAAGTCAAGAGGGCCTTAGAAAGCATCACTACGAACAAAACTAGTGGAGGTCATGGAATTCCAGTTGAGCTATTTCAAATCCTAAAAGATGATGCTGTGAAAGTGCTGCATTCAATATGACAGCAAATTTGGAAAACTCAGCAGTGGCCACAGGACTGGAAAAGGTCAATTTTCATTCCAATCCCAAAGAAAGGCAATGCCAAAGAATGTTCAAACTACCACACAACTGTACTCATCTCACACACTAGCAAAGTGAAGTTCAAAATTCTCCAAGCCAGGCTTCAACAGTACGTGAACTGTGAACTTCCAGATGTTCAAGCTGCATTTAGAAAAGGCAGAGGAACCAGAGGACAAATTGCCAACATCCGCTGGATCATAGAAAAAGCAAGAGTGTTCCAGAAAAACATCTACTTCTGCTTTATTGACTATGCCAAAGTCTTTGACTATGTGGATCACAACAAACTGGAAAATTCTACAAGATATGGGAATACCAGACCACCTGACCTGCCTCCTGAGAAATCTGTATGCAGGTCAAGAAATAACAGTTAGAACTAGACATGGAACAACAGACTGGTTCCAAATAGGAAAAGGAGTACGTCATGGCTGTATACTGTCACCCTGTTTATTTAACTTATATGCAGCATACATCATAAGAAACGCTGGGCTGGATGAAGAAGCACAAGCTGGAATAAAGATTGCTGGGAGAAATATCAATAACCTCAGATATGCAGATGACACCACCCTTAAGGTAGAAAGCGAAGAAGAACTAAAGAGCCTCTTGATGAAAGTGAAAGAGGAGAGTGAAAAAGTTGGCTTAAAACTCAACATTCAGAAGACTAAGATCATGGATCCCATCACTTCATGGCAAATAGATGGGGAAACAATGGAAACAGTGAGAGACTTTATTTTCTTGAGATCCAAAATCACTGCAGATGGGTGACTGCAGCCATGAAATTAAGACGCTTGCTCCTTAGAAGAAAAGTTACAACCAACCTAGACAGCATATTAAAAAGCAGAGACATTACTTTACCAACAAAGGTCCATCTAGTCAGAGCTATGGTTTTTCTAGTGGTCATGTATGGATGTGAGAGCTGCACTATAAAGGAAGCTGAGCGCCGAAGAACTGATGCTTTTGAACTGTTGGAGAAGACTCTTGAGAGTCCCTTGGACTGCAGAGATCCAACCAGTCTATCCTAAAGGAAATCAGTCCTGAATATTCATTGGAAGGACTGATGCCAAAGGTGAAACTCCAATACTTTGGCCACCTGATGTGACGAACTGACTCTCATTTGAAAAGACCCTGATGCTGGAAAACATTGAAGGAGGGAGGAGAAGTGGGCAACAGAGGATGAGATGGCTGGATGCCATCAGCAACTCAACGGACATGAGCTTGAGTCAACTCCAGGAGTTGGTGATGGACAGGGAGGCCTGGCGTGCTGCAGTCCATGGGGTCGCAAAGTCAGACACAACTGAGCAACTGAACTGAATTGACTGACAGATCTCGGCACCTCGTGGTAGTTCCCTTAATACCAATATTCTTGATTTCTATTACACACCTGATCAGGGCTACCCTGTCCTGCCTAATACCTGGAGTAATCAGGCTGTCTACCCAGACTCCAAAAACCAGTTATCTCCCACTCATGTATTTTCAGGCACAACAGTGAATGCTTCTGGGAACGGGGCACGAGAAGAAGACTGGTATCTGTCTTACCTGCATAAATATCAATTCTCGTGGCATCAGCATCTCTGCAAAGTTGGGAAAAAAATCAATATTCAAATGAGAATATGAAGTATAACCATTAAAGATGCACAGTACTGAGTGGGATACATACTATTTTGAATCTATTTTCAGGAAATCATAAAAGAAATTCTATATACATTAAACATATACTTTTACATTTGGTAGCACACTTTTCCTTACATGTCTGTGAAACCTCCCTGGAGCTCCAAATTATTGAAAACCATCACAAGATACATAGGGTCTGAATACCCTTTTGTAAATAAACATTTCACAGTGAGAACAGCTGGAGGGTGCAGAAGAACATCCCTTTACACACTGAGTGACTCCAGTCGCTTGTGTGAGCGCGGTCATAAACAACGCTCCAACGTCTCATCCATTGCTCCTTCTCACCGAGATTTGAGGAAAAAGGAAAACAATGCTCTGCCGCAGAAGCCTGAGAAAAGCAGTCTTACGGTATACACACCACAGTCAGTACACTGACTCATGAGCCCATAATCTTATCCTCCCTAAACCTGAAAGGAAGTTTGGGGGCACCCCATCAGGCTCCAGCCATCAGCTGAAATAAAAGCTCAGTCATCAGTGAAGTCTTCCATAAAGGCTTGAAAGTAATCTAGCCCAATTTTGCCAACTGCAGGCAAAGAAAATGAGGCGCTGAGTTTCACTGCTTTTAAATACAAAATAATTCACTCAAATCCATACAACTCCATAGGTACTTATTCCAAAAAACATAAAAACATTTTCAAAAATAGAAGAGATTGGCAAAGTATGTGCATGAGCAGGAACATACACTCCAAGGCAATCTTCAGTTCACCATATAATATATAAAAAAGCAGCCTACCAAAACACACTGTAGTATCACTGAACAAGTGGCAAACAGAAACACTGTTCCATTGAGCCACAACATTTTTAAACTCAATATAAAAATTATGAGTCAGTCAGGTTTGAAACAATCGAAAAACACTGAAAATGCAACTTTTCAGGTTAAACAAGTTGTTAACTAGCATACTTCCATGCGCAGTCCAGTAAATAATAACAATAAAACTATAATGGTATAGATCTACAGTATAGACATAGATAGACATAATTACCATTATGTCATTAGCTGGAGATCTGTTTACAAAGTACTTCTGCCAACTCTTATCTTCTTCATTAGTCATATTGGTCAATAAACACCATGTCTGAATTTCATGTCTGCATTCAGAAATCTGTGATATAATTATAGGCAGACTTTTGATTTGGGACTTCAATCTCCCTGAACCAATCCAAACTTCTTTTCAGTCTTACACAGTAACATTTACAGGCTTCTATCACTAAGAACTCAGTATAATACTGTGCTGAAGAATGATTTCTTCCAAGCACAGTTGCTAACAATGGAAGATGCTTTGATCAACTAGCCTCATCTGACAATAAAATACACTCACTCCTTAGTATCCGCAAGGGACTGGTTTTAAGACCACCAAGGACAAAAAAATTTCCAGATGCTCAACTGCCTTCTATAAAATCATGTAGTATTTGCATATAATCTGTGCACATCCTCCTGTTTACTCCAAATCATCTCTAGGTTACTTATGATAACTAACACAATGTAAACGTATGTAAATAGTTGCAAGCAAGCAGCAAACTCGAGTTTTGCCTTTGGAACCTTCTGGAACTTTTCCAACACTTTCGATCTGTGGTTCCTTGAATCCACAGATGCAGAGCTGCAGATACAGAGGGCTGACTGTATATTTTGGGAAGACACAGAACTCTGAAATAATTTCAAAGACATTAGATGGTTTACTGTCCTGGTAGCACAGAGTTTGTCCTAGTAATTAGATCCTTAAGTTTTTATCTTAATTTCCTGTGTTTCACAACAATTATCTTGTTCTAATACACATGGAAGGTAGCTTTAGAGTTTGTAAGTTCACTATTTTTAGTCTGGAACATAAAAATGAATGGATTAAATTATCAACAAACGTGCTATTTAAAATACTTTTTGGGTAAGATGCCTCCTAGGAGTCACATATGCAAAAGAACTGCCTTCCTCCCAAGTCTTCAGAGATCAGAGATCACAAAAACCCAAAAAGTTTTCAAGCACAGACTGCACACCTGAAGACTACATACCTTGCATTATCAACTAGTTCAGCAAGAGCACCAAACAAGAATTCATGAGTGGTTCTGAAATGATAAATATTAAGAATCAGCAAAAGAATTATCAATTAAGCTACAGCTCCTAATATAATGTCAAGGTTATAAAATATTTAAAAGGTTTTTTTTGGGAAAAACCTAAAATTGCTACTTGCATCATCAAATTACACTATTCAAGTTTTAAACTTCTCCACAATTCAAGTCTTTCTAGAGTTCTACTGCTCTAGCTCTACTGCTAAAGCAATGTTTTTCACTATTCATATTCTACCTAGAAAAACAAGTATATTTTATTTATCAGCCTCTACCAGCTATCAGTTTCTGCCTATCTCTAAGAACACTCAATGGAGAAATCATTACCATTTAGCTTTACCAGTACCTTTGTGATGATTAACTGGTGAAAAACCACTCAGTATTGTGCAATTTATATGCAAAAATACTCCACTTAAAAGTGGGGAGAAAGGAAAAAAATAATTCAGTTTTCGATGCTCCCTGATTTTGGTACGCATGCCTTCCTCTGCTTACACCTCCTTTCATTGGTGCTGTTTCCACAATAGTCCTCATTAGATGTGAGAGTAGATACATCAACCTAGAACCAGCTACAATTTTTTTTTTTTTCCTGGCCCTGTGGTGCAACATATGGATCTTAATTCCCTGTCCAGGGATCAAACCCGGGCCCTCTGCAATGGAAGAGCAGTCTTAACCACTGGACTGCCACAGAAATAATGAAACTCTGACTTTTGTAAGCATTAACTCACATAATATATTATTATCACAATGTAAAAAAAAAAATTTTTTAAACACATTATTCCAATTAATTTTTTGTATACAAAGTTTCAGTCCATAAAGTGAAAATTTCTATATATATTTAGAATATACCAATATTAAAATAGCCAGCATCTAGGATCTGTGAGTACTTACTGTATTGTTCAAAACAAATTGTAAAACACTTGTTTATAAAATAAACCCAAAACTCAGCTGTCCAGGAACAGTTTTTCCCTCAAATAAATCTCCACATTTTTATAAATGCAACTTTTTAAATTAAAACTACTAGTCCTTGGAATTTTAGGAAGAACTTTTTTCCATGAGAACAGTGAATATATGTATCTGTTGCTGATCCAAATGAAGTACCATGCTGTAACAAAAAGTAGAAATTTAATCTCCAATTTCCCTGAAAAGAGCTCAAATTCCTCTAAATCTAATTCTTATTTCATATGAAATAAAAAAATTTTCACAAGGAAAAAAACCTGAATAAAGCATCCATATTTTTAGTTATTTAAAAAATTTTGTCTCCAAAATTATCACCCTAAATTCTTCAAACTATCTACTGAAGAAGCAAAAAATTTTCTGCGTATTACTCCACGTATTAAACTGGGAGAAAAGCTGGAAAATTAAATAAACTGATTTACTGAAAGTAATACGAGTTAAAAGTAAAACTAGTATCTGCTCTAAAGCTTTCAACCAATCATTTTCCTGTCTGACTTTGTCGTGACTAAGTAACTTATGAAGTGAATTAGTTTTCTATACTCTACTTTTTAAAAAAATTTTGAAGGTTAAAATGGAAAATAACAAATTCCACTGCAATACTTCTCATTTCCTTGAATTCGAGGAATCTCAGAAATACAGGTCCTAGGGTAGGGGTGGGGGACACAAGAATACAATCTTAGACTACAATTTGTGTGTAGAAATAAAGGAAGAATGAAGTATCTGGCCTATGGTAGTGACAGTGGTGAATATGAATAATCTGGAAAACTAATTCTGATACCTCTGCCACCCAGGCAAAGAAATTAAAAAAAACAGAAATGGCAATGGCTTCTCACAAAATATATTTTTTGTCGCTTCACATGAAAATTAAAGGCACTCAGAACTCAATAACATCTCAAAAAAGAAAAGGACAAAGCACTTCTGGCTAAGTTTTCACTGTTTTCTACACAATTGTTAGAAAACTGCTTTGTATATTTAGAATCTAAAAACATTCCAAATGTCTTCGTTGTTCCAGATGGTATCAATGCTGTTCCACAAAACGTATTTCAGGTAAGTTAACATATCTTTGAATGTAGCTAAGGGGTGCTTTTGTGACGTGCACTGACACATCACAAAAGGGGCCTTTTGCGACAACTGTTGGTGAGGTCAGAGACGACACTCAGAATCTTCTCCAAACCTCCAACTGATCCTACTAATAAATGCTAAAACTAAAGTTCTAAATATCTCTCAAGTCGTAAGAAACAAAAACATACCAACTATAAAAGATCTTCCCTTTTTTTCAAATAATATTCAAAGAGATGAATTCATTGCTAGCGAGCAGTTTAGAGTTATTTATATAAGGATCAAAGGAAATTCTTTTCTTCACAGACCTAAAGATTCTTTACATGTAATCCAAGAAAGAGCAACCATCTGGAAAAAGACAAAGATTTTTAACGAACTCTTTCAACTGATTTCAACTGATTGTGGCTTTTATACCAATTGTGCCACAATCAAAATAGCTTTGCATCTTAGCATTTCCAATGACAAATTCAAGTGTAAATCTACTCATTATGTAAGGAAAATGGTCTATTTACATTCAGCCTGAATTTAAAGCAATTATAACCCCATCACACAGTGATAGGTTCTACTAAGTTCTTGGATATGCAGTCCAGAGTTAATTGCCTTAACTGCTAAAAAATAAAGCTGAAAACTTCCAGGGCAGCCATTTTACATTCAAAGGCTTTACTATATTTAGTGTGAACCCATATTTCAACAGGATTATAAATCACAAGAAATACCGTTTGTAAAGTTGAAAGGTTCCTCTACCTTCACTTCCCATATCAATAAAACAACTCAAAGATATAAATGGCCGAGACAATAAGCTTTTAAATGTGCCAAAAGGAATAGACATACACAGCAGGCATCTTATACATAAGCACCCTGCTCCATCAAGCCACTTAGCAATACTGCCAACAGAATGACTGAAGATATATACCTTCTGCCAAAGAAACATTACAACAATCACTCCATCTTGAATCTGGCACCTACACTGCTCATGGACTTTTCAGCAGCAGTCACAAAACCCACCACACTAAACAGCAGTAAAAGCATAAAACCACTTTTATTCAAAAAACCCTAACTTCAATCATCTTATATGACCAACTTGCAGTATTTAAAAGAAATTCACCTAAGCCTTCCATGTTAGAATTTCCCAGACCTGCCTCAAACCCTAATGCTGATATAATCAAGTTACTATAGAACAATACCAAAACAATAATAATTCCAAGCAGGTGTTTATTATCTTCAACAGATGCTCCAGAATTTATTAAAAATTAATCTGCCTAATGACCATCCCCAAACATCAAGTTGCTATCACACTGACCAATTTTTGGTTTATATGAACTAACTAGAACAAATAACTGTCACTATCTATTCAGTATTTACTATGAACTATGTGCAATCTGATTACCTTATAAATTATTTTACACAATCCTCATAAACATTATCAGATTAGTCCTGTTTTGTAAATGATGAAACTGAGGCTCAGATAAGTAGACCTACCCAAGGACACAGCCAGGAAACGGAAGCCTGGCTGGCTACCAAGCCCATGCACTTTCTACTGCATCACACTGACTTCTACCCTTCTATCCTGGACTCTGCTAAATGGGTGCTAAGGAGTCATTTCTTTCACAACATACACCATGGCAATTTATAGATATCAGACACCCTAAAATGGTCTTCCTGTTTTTTTAATTATAAAAAAGGAGAAGGAAAACCCTCCCTTCTCTGAAGGTTAACACCATACCACTTAACCCAGAGGACACATCTACCATCATTACCAAGTCACATTTTCTGAAAATTTTAAAATTTGTTTCCTCTAGAAATGAACTTCCAGTCAAGTCACAATAAAGGTCTTGAAACTGGTTACAAACCAAAAACATATCTAGGTGTTCTGGGGTTCATATTTTCTTCCCGTAGAACTGGATACATTCAAAAGTAAACAACTTCTAAGGTGTGATCCAGATAATAAATTCCAGAGCTTCCAAAATGATACATCCAACTCTCAAAAACGTTTATGCAAGCAAGTGGTTCCAGTTCAACACAGTAAGTCAAATTCCCAGAAAATTCTCCAATTTCAAACAAAAGACTTAACTGAGGTTCAATTCCTTCCCTTTGCTCTGTTCTCCTATTTCCAAGCCATAAAATAGCAAAAGAAATGAAATATCCCAGAATCCTCAACTTAGAGGTTCACTGAGATAAACTGAAATTTATCTCCTGGCCAGAATACTGGAGGGGGTAGCCTTTCCCTTCTCCAGGGGAGCTTCCCAACCCAGGGATCAAACCAGGTCTCCCGAATTCAAGGCGGATTCATTACCAGCTAAGCCACAAGGCAAGCCCAATCTAAAACTGAAGACTTACAAAATGGAAAGTAAACCTTCTGGCATATATACAAGGAAACAAGCTTTTAAAGGTAAAACTGACTACAGCTGGTGTTGCCTAATGGTTAAAAGCACTAATCATGTGGCCAGATAAATCTCACCACTTTGAATCTTGGTGCATTGAAGCTGCCTTGAAGCTGTGTAACCTCTAGCATGTAATAATCTCTTTGAACTTCAGTCTTCTTAAATGCAAAACAGGAATAACCCTTACTCCAGTAGGATTGCTAAAAAGATCATTTTTGACCATGTTTAAATGTGGCTGGCAGAAGCCACAGTCCCTGGTAGCTCAGATGATATGGCTCAGACGGTAAAGAATCTGCCTGTGATGCAGGAGACCCAGGTTCCATCCCTGGGTTGGGAACATCTCCCGGAAAAGGGAATGGCTACTACTCACTCCAGTGTTCTTGCCTGAAGAATTCCATGGACAGAGCCTGGTAGGCTATAGACCATGCGGCCGCAGAGTCAAACATGACTGAGCAATTAACACTTTCACTTTTCACTATCATTTTATTATCAAATACAATCTTTGGGTAAGCTAAAACAAGAACCCAGAATCAAGTCTCCTTCAATGGTCTTCCAACATCATCACATAGTCTGTCACTCCAAATTTGGTCCCTCACCCCAAAACTCAGAACTGAATTTATCAAACACAATCTGTGAACATCTAAGTGGCCTTCAACTGCTTGTTCTTAATGTGGCAGCTCAAATACAAACAAGGATACTAAAGGTTCTGCTCATGGCTATGCTACCAGCAAGATGGGTGTAACTTTTGATCAGAGGCCTTATCTAGTTGGATTTCAGGTTCATCAGCTGCAACATGAAACTACACCTAGGTGACCTCTACAATCCCTACTCTAGTACTCTAGTTCAGTAAGAACTTTCCTAAACAAAACCAGGCTCTCATTTTGCAATTCACTACTCTGAAAAATTTTATTTCCTCCATAGGAAAAATATCAAACAAAAAATTACAGATACAAATATGTGGTTCTTTTCTGTAAATGGTTGATTATTGTACTATTACTTGACAACTAAAGTTACTGTACTAGTACTTGAAAACTAGAGCCTATATTCTCAATCCTGAAGGTGGTTCTTCTGACCTCTGGACCATTAAGCTGCTCACCACCTCTCTAGCACTAAAATGAGACTTACCTTCATCTCAAAGATGCCAAATGAATGTATTAAAAGACTAAACAATGATGCCCTCATTGCATCAACTCCAAGAAAGTGGGCATAAGGATTAACCTTGAAATATTCCAGATCAATGGAGTGATGGCAATCTCTTCACAAACTCAAAGAACTACGAACACAGCATTTATTCAATGATTTGTGAAACTTTGGGGGTAAGGCTATTTAAATCATGGATTTAATCAAGTTATCACTTCCTGCTTAACATATTAAAAACCATATTGGATGAGGACAAATTTCCCAGGAAAATAAAGCAAACTTGTTTTCTGGGGGGAAAAATAACTTCTTCTCACAAGTTGTCATTTAAATGTCTTCATTCTTTTTTTTTTTTCCTTCTTAAAAAAAAAAAAAAGACTTGTTATTACACAACTGTATTGGCTGTTGTCACCAAAGACAAGGGGTTGAATAGAATAGTCCAATTTTTGGCGATCCAAGATGAGTACTTGTTGGATTCCTATCAAACACTTGAATGAAACTCAATATACAGACTCCAAGGAATTAGTTTGCCTTCTATCAAATAAATTTTGATCCAGTAAAGGAAGATCATATTCTTCTGGATTAGCAACAAACATTTCACTGATCTCAGTTCTTCCATACAGAGCTCAAGACTCCTCCAGTGACATATCCCAAAAAGTAAAAATGCAAAACTTGCTGGGAAAAAAGACTTCCATATGAATATCGAGCAATGAGTTAGTTATCAGTGACCTCAGAGGCACCTACAGAATACTTACGAATTTGTATGTAGATATTCAAAGGTTAGCTGAGCTCGATTCAGACTGCTGTAATTCGTGAAAGCCATGAGTGCGGTGATGTCTCCAGTTCTTTAACCACTAATCGGGAAATACAAGTTACAATGGAATAGATTTTTCAGGACTCCTTCCAGTAAAAATTTGGTAAAGCTGTGCTCCTCAGTTAAACAAAGTTATCTAGTTATCCATCTAAAATATACTCAAAAAGACGTCTAAAACAAAAACTGATTTCTTCCTTAAATTTTTTTATCCTCTCAATGACTACGATGTAATATTTTGGAAGAAACTACGTCATAAATCTGTAGTCTTAAGGAACAGTAGCATTAATTTGCGATAATTCACTGACTGGAATGTGGTTCGTCCTAGAGTAGCTGATACTGGAGTTGGCGATTTAATTACTGCTCCATCTTCGCGTTCTTCCGAGTTTTTTGTTGTTGTTGTTGTTCCTCTAAATTTCCTGTGAGGAAATTCACCAATCCGGAAACTTACCAATCGGGAAGTCTAGCAACTTCAGTCATAAAACTGGACAGCCACACATGTCTTCGCCATCAATGATCCCAGGATCCTTAAATAAGCCCCAAACTGGCGATCACGATGTTGCTCGAGTGCATATGGCGTTAGTTCAGGCTTCACCACCTACCAACTGAAAGATTTCCTAAGCGCTGAAGACCGATTTCCGTTTTCAAAGCCCAGATAAAACCTAGCTTGCTGTGCGCCCCAATCTCCTCAGGGTAATGAGTCAAATTACCTCACTGTGGCCCACTAAGTCGCCACAGAATTGACCCACCCAATCAACTCAGGCGGGCCGCGCCCCTCCCCCTTGCCCTCAGACAGCGGCCTCAGCCTCTCAGGCCCTCACTGGGCCTCGGTCCCGTGGTCTCCTCCTCACGGAGACAAGTTAGTCCCAGTTTTCAAGGCCCGGATCGAGGGCAGTGGCGAGCGAACCACCCGACTGGGCGTTGCCCGGCGCTCACAGCTGCCTTTGTCCCTCCCCACGGAATTGGAACCCAACAACCGCAGGGCGCTCTTGGAACCATGTGCTGCCGCCACCTCCGCGTCCGCCGCGTCCGCCGCCGCCGCCGCCGCGAGACCAGCCGCCCTCGCGCCGCGCTAGATGAGATGGTGACAGGACTCAGCACTACAAAATTCGGCGTCTAGGGCTGCTCCGCCGAGACCGCCACCGCCACCTCTTTGTCTCCGCCAGTGCACACAACCCGGGCCGCCTCGCGCACTCCCCGACGCCCCAAGTCCCCGAGGCCTCCGCGGCGTATTCCGCCAATCACAGAGCCGCAGCTCCTCCCGCCCCCGCCCTGATGCGACGCCTCCTGATTGGCGGGTAGGGTGTCTCCACGTGACCGGATTTTGTTAGCCGGGCCCGCCCCTGTCACGTGAGTGCGCGCGCCTCTCTTCCTGCTTTCTTGACCCTCTCCGCCATTTAAAGAAACAGTACCGGGGGCGGGCCGAGCGACGCAGCCGGGACGGCAGCTGCAGCGCGGACCGGAGGAGCCATCTTGTCTCGTCGCCGGGGAGTCAGGCCCCTAACTCAAAGAAGCCCTGGCGCGCCCTCCCCCCCTTCCCGGTCTGGTAGGGCGAAGGAGCGGGCGCGCGGTCGATCGAGCGATCGGTTGGCGGCTCTTTCTCCTGCTCTGGCATCCAGCTCTTGGGGCGCAGGCCCGGCCGCCGCGGCGCGCGCCCGGTGGCCGTTGGCGCTCGCGCCGTGTCTTTCTTCTCGTACGCAGAACTCGGGCGGCGGCCTATGCGTTTGCGATTCGACGAGGAGTCGTCCGGGTGGTTGGCGGCGGCGGGCAGCTGCTCCGCCCCGCTCCCGGGGAGGCGGCGGCGGCGGGATTTGGCGCGGCCGGGGAAGCTGGGGCGGCCGGGGCCGGCCTGGAGGCCTGGCGCCACCCTTCGGGGCCTGCAAGGACCCAGTTGGGGGGGCAGGAGGGGGCCGGGGGATGGTTGGTGGTGGGCTTTCTACTTTGCCTTTTCCTCCTTATGCCGCCTTAGTGAGGGACGGGAGCTCTGGCGGCAACTCCGGGGTGGAGAAGCGAGCTCCGGAGTCGGAAGAGCGGTGTTTGCTTCCGGGCCTAGCCACCAGCTGGCCGAGTGACCTTAGGCAAGTCACTCAGTAATTTGTCTGCGCCTCAGTTTCCTCCTCTATCAACGTTTGTGGGATTGAAAGCGCTTTGTAAACCATAAAGCGTCAGTGGATGAAAGGAATGATCATTGTTCGTTATGGTTGGCTTTTTTTTTTTTTTTTGGAGTTGTAAGAAAACTTAGAAATTCCCAGTCCTTGGATATTGAACCTGGAAACCTTGGACTGGAGATGGAGATCCCCAAACTCCCTGAAATTGTGTGCAGAAGTTAGTGGGAATATGCAATTTAGGGAAATGAGGATCCATCGCCAGCAAGTTTTCAGAGGGGGCTGTGACCCGGAAGAGTTAAGAACCACAGTTCCTTTGCCACAAGGAGGAAACTGAGGCCTAGATGTCATTTGGGACCCGTCACAACCAAGTTGAAGCCCCTGTTGAATCCCTGGGATATGTGAGCTGTTCTATGCATAGTGAATATTCGGGGTAACAACACTCCACTGCTTGGCTTCTGAGTCCTTTCGCTATGGGTTGCCTGAAGGGCGGCTGATGCTTATGGTACAGTGGCACCCAATATAAAGCAGCTGAAACTAGGAGTGGATGTGTTCTCTAGTGTCAAGAAGCCTATTCAATCTTTGGCCCAACAACTTTTTATTTTCTGGTGCCTGACTACCTTTCTAACTCATTGACCATTTTCCATGACCGTGGTTGCCATCCGTTACTTGCTCTTGTTTTATATTCTTAGCTCCGTGTGGTTGGTAGTGAGGAGGCTTATTTTTAAATGGTGCTGCCAAGTCCAGCTAATTAATGGTGCAGGTGGGTTTTTAGCAAGCTGTCTCACTGGAATAGACTGAACTAGACATGGAATTCCTGAAGATGTTTGTTAATTGAAGGTTGACATTCTCTGAAAAGTTTTGTTAGAACTTCTTCTGAACCTCAAAGTCAGTAGTTGGAAGTGTTTCAAACCTTAACTTTCCTCCCCGCCTGCTTTGTTTTCTCTTTGCTTGCAAGTGTGTTGTTAAGATGGCCAAAATGCCAGTTTTTGCTTCTTTTTTAACTGTCAGCTGCTTTTTATCAGATTCCAGGCCATTTTCCAGCAAACACTATAGAAATGTTCGAACACTTGGATTTCAAACATTTTCGTTTTGTGGAGTGGTGCTTACCGTGGTACAGCTCTAAGTAAGCAAATGCAAACACACTTAAGTGTTTTGTCTGTTAGGTGTTAGCCGGTTCTGCTATTTCATACAAACGTCTGGAAAAAATCTATTGACTGTTCCCTTTACCTGGAGGGCAGAGACAAATGATCTCAATTCCAGAGAAATGACTGTTTTGGAGACAAATGTGTTGGTCTTTTAGCTCTTTTGTAATTAAATCTGGATGTACCTCAAAAGAATCTTGAGACTGTGGTGATACGATGCTTTCCTCAGGAGAAAGGAGGAAAAAACCAACTGGAACTCAAAGCTTGAAATTCTGTGACAAAACATGACCTGTCCAGAATAGGAGGTTGAAAGGGTTTCACTACAGTGTTCTGCACTCGCTGGAACCCATGTCTTTCAGTGTAGTCACCGCATGGGCTCTAGATTTCCAGAATTTCAAGAACTGCATCTGGGACCTGGAAGAAAATACCAGGGTGTGACAGGAACTCGGGAGCTGGACATTTTTATTTCTGAATTTGAGGATTGTTGTCCTTGTTTTGAAAAAGAGACAATGACTGAGCAAGCACTGCCACCAGCGCTGTTACTGGGAATTTGGAGACCTGAGTTTTCAGCAAACCCTCAGTGCAAACTCTGGCGATGCTCCATCCAAAGTGAACTACGGTACTTGCCATTTTCCAAAATGCCTTTTTCTTTACCATCTCTGCTCTTTTATTCATGCTCTCTTCTCTATCCTGGAATACCTTCCTCTGCTTCTTCATCTGTCAAAACTGCCATTTCCTCAATATCCAACTCAGATGCTCTCTTCTCCATGACACTCTCAACCTTAGCAGAAATTAACCTTTTTTTAAGTTTTTTATGTCTTTTTGTATATCTTTTATTTATCTTTGTATACAGTAGCTTATAAAGTGCTTTTTTCTGTACATTGCATTAGTTCTCCTTACAGGTAACAGCCCCTTGAAAGCAGGGGCCTTGTCTTGGGAACTTTTGCCCAGACATGTTAACCACATATGATGAAGCTTTAGTAGAAAGAACAAGTTTAGAGACCAGGCTGTTGCCAAATAAGCACTCAATAAATATCTGCTTAGTTGCTGTGTGATAACCTAATTATTCTTGATTATTGAAAAAGTCACTAGTTATGGGCCATGTCTCTTCCTCTACTTCATATTTTATTAATTTTTAATTCTAACTTTAAAAAATTTTAGGGATCCCTCAAATATGAAGAGAAACATCCATATTGCATTGGGTATAATTGAGGAGTGCAAGGGCAAGAGTTTTATTATTCCCTGTATACCTTACTGTCTCCTGCTCAAGGTGGAATTATTAAAATTAAAGTTAAGGATAAGTTTTACAAGTATTGATATGAGGCTATAAGACAGTTTGTGAACGGCATTGGAAAAGGAAGAACAGCAGTGTCTCCTTTGCTTTGGTGTTTGTATATCAACTTAAATCCAGTTCTCAGACCACCTGGGAGACACTTTGTTTTCCCCCACCAACCACTGCCCAGGAATACAGATAAATTACTCCTCCAGAGTATGAGAATTGGAGCCATTCCTATTTGCTGCTTTCCTGAAACAATTTGTCCTCAAGAGTCCAAAAACAGTCTTTGCCTGAGAACTCTCTGTTCTTATCATCACTGATTATTAATCATAAGTTCCCCCCCTCCCCCCACCACTGCATTTGTCAAGAATCAGTATCCATCAGGCAGTGGATGTGCAGACAGCAGCCCCACCCCAGTGTCCTGTGTTTCTAATTCCAAGCATTTGTTATCTCATATGTTTTGTCACTCTCCTCTCCAGTCCTGTGCCTCCTGGTTGCCGAGTGTTCACCTGGATCTTCTGATCACCTTTGTGCTATTCCATCAGCCTACAGATCTGGTACCTGGATTTTTGCCCATGGTGATGGATTCTGCCACCTCATTACTGAAGAAGACATCATTCCAGTGGACCACTGTGATCTAGGAGGCGTATCCAGCGAATCATCATGATGTGGCCTTCACCTCCACTCCTGTCCTGTTCCACCCAGATTCAACACAGCCTTTTGTAGTGAAGTTCAACTTCTCAAGCCAAATAGCTGAAGCTGTTTTATCACAACAAAGGTTCAGCTTGTTCCATAAGTGTGCATTTCGTTTCTCCAGTTAAAGCTTTCAGAGACGCATAATAAATTTGGACCAGGGGATTTTTAGTTATCAGCACTGTCTGAAGAATGGCAGCATCTTTTTGAGAACCATACTGGACCACGCCCCACTCTCAAATGATTGAAATTCAGGAATTGTCTAATCTGGACCCCATTTTTTTTCCATTTCAAACCTGTAGTAGCCTACTGAATGAGCAAGCAGATATTCTGACCCGTTGGGATTAAAACAAAGGCACAGTGAACTCACAGCATCTTCTTTGGGATTACTCAGGAACCAGAACTTTTCCCACAAATGTAAGAAATTCTACCAAGGAATCCCTTTACCTAACAGCATCTCACAAAGCTCCAATCAGATTCCAGAAAAGGCCTCTTGATACATCCAGGTAGAACCTATATGGTAATCCCTTGTTTATATAGCACTTTACAGTTTCAAAGCACTTTTACTTGCATTAATCTCAATTACCAAATAACACAAACTATAATCCCTTTTTTCAGATGAGGAAATGGAAATTTAAAAGGGTATCCAAGGTTACACAGCTGCAAAATGGTAGAGGCCAGGCCTTCTGACTCCCAGTCCAGTTCTCTCTTTGGAATTAACTTAGCCTCTATTTTATGTGCCGTGTTAAAATAACTGGAGATTGGGAACCCCAGAAAAGTTTCCAACTTCCTGATCTCAGTCAGTGCCCTCAGTCAGTTAGGATGTCAGAAATGTGATTTTGCAATAGTTGTACCTGGACCTGAAGTCCATGGCATCATCTCTGAGGTTTGGCAGTAGTAGACTGTCTTTATGGTAGTATACTGTCTAGTCAACAAGGCACATGTTCATCTGCCAACAAGATTACCCGTTAAAAAACACAAAGCTACTTATAGGTCTTTCATCCATCTTTTTGGTCTTCCCAAAGATGGCCTAGTTGATTGGGGATCCATGTTGATTTCATGTCTTCCTCCTCCTCTTTTTTTTTTTTAATTCTTATTAATATTCCCAGATACCAACTCTGTGGTCCTCTATCCCCAAATTAATATTTACATAGAATGAGCCATCAATTTTTTTAGAACAGTACTGTTCATATGTATGTGTGTGTATGTATATATTTGATATACACATGTAATATGTATCATATATAAAGAGCTTCTGTAGTCCAATAATGTGGTAAAATACTGTAAAATGTGTCCCCTTCCCTGATTGTTAATGCAGTGTAGTGTATTAAAGGATCTCAAAAGGCTTACAGTAAAGAGCCTCATTTAGTTGTTTGGCCCAGTGTGTCCTAAGTTTAATCAAATACATAATGTTATTTTTGTAGCATTTCTTTTAATGGAATGGGAAAACTTCTTTAGAGCAATATAGCCACTGTTTCCTAATTGCCAACATAATTGCCCTAGAGACTTAGGAATAAACAGTATCTTTGAAACTGCCCCCCCCCCCTTTTTTCTTACCTTGTCAGTAACTTCTTGAATTAGTATGTCTTCATCATCTGAGAACCTTACATCTTGACAGCTTTATTTTCTGTTAAAGAAACCTCTAGAAGATTTGTGGG